GAGCTCAGCCTCTCCTCCCTAAGTTGCCTCTACTTCCTTGCTGGCATAAGTGGCTACGTGTCACACCACGCCCCGCCTTCAACAGGCCCCTCCCCCCATGTGTGCCCATCCACCCCTTCCACAGGTACTCATGGGAAGCATCTGTTGCCTTGAAAGCATCCCATGCCTGTCTTTTCTTCTCAGAAATTCACCCAGACCAGTGTTTCCCAAAGAATATTACTTCTCAACCTTGTTGAAACCATGCTTTCTCTCCCAGTGACGATGCCAGCTTTCTAATCTGGTCATTCAGAACGTATTCACAGAGTACATACTGTGCGCCAGGAACTGCTGGGGCACTAAAGATACAATTGTGTGCGAAAAGAGCTGCTGTCCACTCTCAGGGAGCTTGTAATATAGTCACAATAGCACAAGAATACACAGGTGCTCTCAAAGCAGAGTGATAAATATTAAGGGAGCGTGTGTGACCCCGTGGGAGAGAGAAAGGAAAGTGTACTTACCCAAACCTTGGACACTTCCTGGAGGAAATGACATTCAGGCTGAGATCTGAAGGCTGAAACCTGGAGACAAAAGAAGATGCACTTTTCAGGGAACTGAAAGGGATTCGTTATAACTGGAGTGGAAAATCCAGGAATAGAGATAGTTAGGGGCCAGTTCATACGAGGACTTTTATGCCAATGTAAGGAATTTGGGCTTTATCTTAACAGCAATAAGGAACTATTGAAGGATTTAAGCTAGAAAGGAGAATCATCAAATTTGGATTTAACAAGATCATTCTGACTGGAATTTGGAGGGCAGGTTGGGAAGGAGGCAGAGGTATAGAAACTAAGCAAAAGACTGTAGTTCTGTTCTGGACCAGAGGTATTTGAGGTGTGAAGTAAGGAGATGGCCGAGGGGATGGAGAAAGAAGATAAGTTTAACGTAAATAAGAGGGTCAAGTGATAGACCTTGCTGAGCGGTTGGCTGAGTTATGTGAGAAGTGCTGAGTTTCACCCAGAGAGAGTGTCTAGTCTGGAGTTGAAGAGAATGCCTGAAACACAGGCCTGGGAGGAATCGATGGGCCTGAGAAGCAGCCAGAGCTCAAGAGGGAATCCAGTTCGGTTGTGTTGGGCGAGCTTTTCAGGAAGCGATAGTTTCACATCCAGCTAAGAAGTCAAGCAAGTCAAGCAGAAACCTGGAAAAGGGTCCCACACACTTCCTTGAAGTACGTTATAAAACGGACCCCCACCCCCACCCCGCCAGAGCACGGATGTGGTGGAGGCCGAGTGCTGGGGGTGGGGGGGTGACGAAGTGCACGCTGCAAGTGCAGGTGACTCACTGACAAGTTTGTAGCTGAGGGTTTTCTCAAGGAAGGGGATTTTTAAAATTTTTCTTGTCATTGTCCTTTTTTTTTTTTAAATCCTCACCCAAGGTTGTGCTTATTGATTTTAGAAAGAGAAGGGGTGGGGGGAGAATGAGGGAGAGACACAGGTAAATTGGTTGCCTGTGGTACACGCCCTGACCAGGGATCAAACCCACAACCTAGGTCTGTGCCCGGACCGGGAATGGAAGCTGCAACCTTTTGGTGTCCAGGGTGGCACTCAAACTAACTGAGCCACCGGGTCAGGGCTTACTTTAACAGATCTAAGATAGAAATACTTTCTTACTGTTAAGTGTAACTGAACACCAATTTAGTCAAAACTTGATTCTGAGTTTTGAATGCTTGAATATAAACTATAAAAGTGAAAATGCTCCAAAGTGTGTTGGCGAGTATTGGTGTCCCTACAGCACTGTGCTTTTTCTCTGTGTTAACGTAGTACATCTGTGTACTATTCACATAGTACATCTACAAGTGCTTCCTCTTCCGCAAGGGAGGAGAGGAGTGATCTGAGGAATAGCCAAGTACAAGGTAGCCTTACAGTTGTGAATACGGGAAACTCGGAGCTTTTCGTTGTTATTATTTATTAGTGTATTGTTTTCCATATGAACAATTGTAAACCCGACTTTGACCCACCCTCTAAGGCAGCAGGAAGTTTCCTGTCTTGAGAATTCCTGTTTTAAAACTTCATGAGAATTTATTCCAAAATACCGTGGTGTTTTAATATAAACATGCTGTTTCTCTATCCTGCGGAGTAAAACTAACAGTGCGGGAAGACGCAGCATTTTTGCCCTGCAGGTGCAGCCGCCTGAGGGGCGCCCTCGGCCTGGTGAGCAGGGCGCCCGTCTGCAGTTCTGCCTGTGCAGACTCCAGTGTTGTTTTGGTGATCGTGTAAGGGGTTTTGTTTAGTTAGGTGTGTTTATACGACATTAAACATTTCTAGATATGGAAAGCAGCTCTACATCTCTTACAGATAGTCACTAATACATAATGAACAACTGAATATGAAATAAAGCAATTTCCAGTGGTGAGGATAGTCTCATAGTAGCAAATAATCCAACTTCTTAACTTATTTAATACTAACAACTATCAGGGGTGTCCAACCTTTTGGCGTCTCTGAGCTACACTTTAAATGCATTGCGACACATAGTCACAAAAAAAATCTCACAACGTTTTAAGTAAATGTATGATTTTTGTGTTGGGCTACATTCCTAGCCCTCCTGAGCCACATGCAGCCCGCAGGCCACAGGTTGGGCACCCCATCTTTAAAACATTGCAGTTCACAGAAATTACACAGAGAGAAAAAGATAATTACATCAACTGCCACTGAAAGCTTGGAAGAAGGTGTTAATGAAAACACAGGCTCCCCAAGCGGTGCTCTAACCGGGCTAAGTCCGGCTGTTGTTTCTGGTGTTAGTTGATCTTTCTTGGGGGAAGACAGAAATGCATGCATTTGGTTTCTAAACTAAGTTCTTAGCTTTAAAACATGAAATATTGATGCTTTCTGAAGAGATACATAAACTAAAGTTGTGCGTAGAGCTGGTTTATTTATAAAACTCATGCTGTGTGGCATGAGTGATTACAACGTGTCCATCTCTGAACAGCGCCAAGCGCTCCGTGTGAGCAACAGACAGTCAGTGTCCCGAGTGCTGTGACGAGCCCCTTGTTTGAATGCCCAGGTGGCATCATGCCCTTCAGTGAGGCCCTCGTCCAGTTACTAGCCCTTTGTGACTGATGGGACAGGACTTGTTCATCTTACTGTATATTTTCTAAAAGTGAATATAGCCATTACATTAGCTGTATGTTCCAAATGTTCGTTAAAAACCCAGACCAAACTCTTTTTACCTTTAGTAATCATGAGGGATCTTTATATATTTATACATTATACATTATATGTATGGCCTGTTTTAACTGTTTTCAAAAAAGAGAATATTGTCTTCATTGAATTGATAGGGTCACATCAGTCATCTTTCCATTGGTCCCTTAAATGATAGCATACTCATCAATGGCTAGATACCAAGTACCTCTCCTTGAATAATACATTTTGCATCCAAGGTAAAGAATAGATAAAATTCTCAGTGTAATGTAAAACCACCAAGAAGGGTGCCAATATCAAATTTCAGTCCTTCATTTTTTTTTGGAATTTACACTTGCTATGATTGTTACTGGTGAAGAAACATGTCACTGAACTGTTGTGGGCTGTGGTCAATGTGGATGTGGACATCTGGGATGCGTTCTGTGAAATATGTGTTATTTTGAGTGTAGACTTTAAGGGGATAGAAGACATATTCGTTGAGACCGCTGATGTTGCTAATGGTTGGTTTCAGGGCGGTGACTCTTACATTTTTTGAGACTGAGGAAACTGGAGTTGTTGCCGGTTTTGCTGTGGATTTTAAGGACTGTCACTGAGGAAACTGGAGTTGTAGATGGTTTCATAGTGCTTTTGGAAGATTCACTTGTATAGCTTAAAGGTTTAGCAGTGTGGCATTTGAGAATGTGGAAAGATTTCTGCCTACGATCCTGCTGAGTCTTCGCCATCCACAGCGGCCTTCAGCAGCACTGGCACCAGCAGTATCCCCACGATGAACACGTCCCCGCCACCTCGCACGCTGAGTCCCGTTGTTCTGAGGACAGGACACAGCAGCCTCCTGGGTCTCCACCTCGGTTGGATACCCAGGAGGCTGCTGTGTCATGAGCAGGTGCAGCCCTTCTGCACCCCCTGGCCTACTCTGCATCCCTTTCCGCGGGCTGGAAGATTCTATTTATTTATTAATTAAAAGATGTATTTATTTACTTTCAGAGAGAGGAAAAGGGAGGGAGGAAGAGAGGGAGAGAAACATTGGTGAGAAACATGGATCAGTTGCTTCTTGCATGCCTCCTACTGGGGACCTGGCCTGCAACCCAGGCATGTGCCCTGGCCAGGAGTTGAACTGGTGACCTCAATTCACAGGCCAGTGGCACTCAATCTATTTAGCCACACCAGCCAAGGCAGAAGATTTTAAAGTAAAGAGTAGTCTGATGAGCTCATGTTTTCAGAAGATCAGTACGGGGATGGTGTGTAGGATGGGTCAGTGAGGGGAAGCATGAGACGAGGGAAACGGGAGTCTCTAGTTCAGGGGAGAGGGGACCAAGGCCTTGACTGGTGCTGGGGGCAGGGAGGCAGTGGAAATGGAAATGCACGGTCATGTAGGAGAGATTTTTTAAAAGATCCAGTTATTTCAAGGGGCTGTGGGGTTTTCCCACACGAAAGGATTCTTAGGTGGCCAGTGAGGATTCCCACTATTCTACCCCAGAGAGTCTGGTCTTGTTAAAGTTCATTCCACGGTGTGTCTCTGGAGAGTTTACTCACCTGGTATTGGGTTCTGCATTACTCCTGGTCTGCAGGTCTCCCTGGCTCACCTGAGGGCTATTGAAGGTCACCCAGGGTCTACACTGACCTTGAGCCTGGGTCGGTTGTGGAAACAGCCTGTTTGCCTCCAGTCCCAAAGTTGAGTGTGGAACTAGACCTTGGGAAAGAAGGGGAGAAATGCAGGGTACACTGCCTGGACACGTGTCTGCATCCACTGTCTGGGCCTTTTCTTGCTGATGTTGGGCAGCCATTCACCCTTGACCTTCTCTGCTAGCTTTGTTGCTTTATCGTTCACAGGTCAAATGGATGATGTACTGGATTATATTTGCACTTTTCACCACAGCAGAAACCTTCACCGACATCTTCCTCTGTTGGTAAGTACTGCAAGAATTGGGACTTTCGAGGGGAAGGTGTTACCTGGTGTCAGGGGACAGGTGGGATTGTCTGCAGGCCGTCTGGAGCCTGTCTGTGGGACAGAGGAGTAAGGTCAGGGGTTTTAACGGGGTTGTTTTTAATAAGTTATTCTGTGAAGTTGTTCTTCAAGGAAAAATTTATTCAGTGACCTTATAAGGGCAGGTTTTATTCTTAGAATGGTATAATTGTGGACACAATAAACACAATTTCTCAATTAATGAAGTTGGTAAAGGAGCATTTATATGTTTAAATAAAGAAGAAAGAAAAAGTACACAAAATATGTGACAAAACTGAGTTTCCCTCCCACAGTGTTCTCTCCCACTGTAGCTGCTGGTCGTAGTTATGTGTGCTTTCCTCTAAAAAAGTTTGTGTGTAATACATATACACATCAGCATAAACAGATATATTTTTAATGGCCATATAGAATTCCATGGTATAGATGGGCCACGATTTATTTGATAAATCCCTTTTTGATGGACAGTTTTTTTCTCTTATAAACAATGAAGCTATTGAAGCAATGGAGCAGGTGAAAATCATGAGCCAGTTCTTTGTGTTGATGTATCTTTTTAGGTGAGAGAGGCTGTGAATAATACATGGTATCCTGTTTCTCTTTGAAGGGACTGAGTTGGTCTGTGTCCATGTGAACACATACTAATAGTCATGTGTAAAATTCCCATCAGTTAACCAGGGTTATTTTCACAACTTGGGATTATGGGGTTGGTTCCACATTTGCTATGTTGTATGAATGTTTTACTATGTTCAGATATCATCCGAAAAAATAATGGGTATTTCTGTTTTGGAGAAAGAAATCCTTACCCAGAAAGGATCAGTGCGAACTTGCCCTCCAGGTTGTCCTAGGCCAAGGACCAGACCTGAGTACCGCTTCCCTGAACCCTCTTTTGGGTCAGTGACCTTAGTAGGTAGTTTTTTCGTAAGGAGCCTGATGTTCCTCTCCACTGGGAGAAATAGATGTCTGGGTCACTGTGGCCTCGGGATTACCTAATTTAACGTGCCTGTGCCCAGATAAACAACTGACTTGGGATGGGGCTGGGGCTCTAGGAGCGAGGAGGCGCTCTGCTGAGCCATCCTTTGTGTTTCTCAGGCTCCGGAGCCAGCCCCATGTTATGCAGCGCTGCATTGGGGTGGCCCCTCTGTGTCCCAGGGAGGTGAGGGTAACGGGCCAGGGCCAGGGAGGACTATGTGGTTGGTGGAACAGTGTGGCCAGCTCCTGTCCTCCGCCTTTCCCTCCTAACAGTGCTGTCCGTCTGGTGCCGGGTGGTTTCCTGCTGTCTTCCTGTTCCTTCTCATGGATGTTGTGGGGAATAGTGTTTATCCGAGGACCTCTTTCCCAGGAATATTGATATTTCAGTCTTGCTGCTTTGGGCTGGATGGAAATCCTGTCTGATGATGGATGTGCCCCTTCCTGGTGGCTGGAATGTGTCCTTATCTGGGTTCCTGAAATTTTAGAGTTGATGCCTAGTAAGTGCTTGACAACCATTCACAGAGTTGATTTGATTTTGATTTTGGGAGGTGTATTGGCTTTCTATTTTTTCTATAACAAACTGCCACAAGTTTAGCAGTGTAAAACCATAGAAATTTATTATTTCATAGTTTCTGTGAGTTAGAAGCCCAGGTAGAATCAACCAAGTCCTCCGCTCAGGAGGACCTCACAAGGCCAAAACCAGGGTGTGAGCCCTCGGGCACTCTCACCGCAGGCTCTGGGGGAGACTCCACTTCGAGGCCCATTTAGTTGTTGGCAGAATCCAGTTCCTTGGGGTCATAAGACTGGGGTCCCCATTCCTTGACATGTGCCACCCCCTCCATCTTCAAGCCAACAATGGCATGTTGAGTTCTGCTTGGAAGGTCTGTCATGTGCTACCAGACAGAGAGCGATCTTGGCTATTGTTTTTAAGAGTTATGTGATTAGGTTAGGCCTACCCCAATAACCCAATATAATCTCCCTATTTTAAAGTCATCTGATGAATAATCTTAAGGGACACCTGTAAAATCCCTTTTACCTTGTTTAGAGAACATGTTTATGGGAGTAACGCTGGAATGAGAAGGTCACGGGACCAAAAATCTGCCCGTTACAGGATGGTGTCTGATACCTGGCGTATTGGGAACCTGTGCTCAGGTGGGGTAGAGTCACCCTCTCCTGATCCACGTGGAGGCCTCGTCCGGTCCCTCTCAGCCAGAACTGATCACACAGTTTCTGGGTGGGAAGCAAGGGCCGCTTGCCCCTGGCCTGGTGCCCCGAGCTTCTCTTCTGCGGGGAAGGGGTTCCTTGGGAAGCCTTCCTCCTTGCTGTGGCCCGCAGCCTCATCATGCCCGCGGCCTGCTTGCTCTTTTTCTGCCAGTCTGCAGAGCTACGGATCAGTTTTCTTCTGGGACAGTCCTCCCTCCCCCTCCTCCCTCTCTCCCTGGGAATGGGCACAGGACAGGACTCTCAGACGGGCAGACCCCTGCGTCCCTTCCAGCAACATGGACACCAGCTCAGCAGCCCCAATCTCTATAATAACAACAAAAAGAAGAGCGTCTGTCCTAACATGGACCTTCTGGCTTCCTGGAAATGTCATTAACGTCCTGTTCACGTCTGGGATTGTAGGTTACCCCTCATGTTTTGCTTCTGTCTCTCCTCCTCCATTCCCCGCTTCTCACCTCGCCCCTAGGGCAGTGCCCTCTTCATAGCTGACTTTTAAAAAGCATTCTGTCTTCATGAAAACAGCAGTTGTGCGTGGCCACAGAAGAGGTAGGATGGTGGCTTGGTTCACAATTTGTGCAGGTGATTTCATTTAGTTTTTTTAAAAGTATGTAAAATACTGCATGCACATGGCAAGATAAAATTGAGGCCTGTGCCTCCGAAGCTGTGGGGGAGATGGGGTGGGAGAGCACCCAGCCTTTTCTCCTCACACCCGCCCAGTCAGGGCCATTCAGGGCACATCCTCCCAGAACGAGCAGGGTCCTTCTCCACTTCTTGGGTGAAGGCTGGGATGTGGTAAATGGGCTGGAAGCAGAAGCGGTTGGTGGTGATTTTGTGGGTGGGGCCAAGAGACCCCAAGGCCTCTTGGGAAGCACAGGATGTGAGTGGTTCCGCCCCGAGACCCTAACGAGCCATGCATGGCAAGGGCCTGATCCCGGTGTGATGATTCCAGAGGCAGTTTGAAATAATCCCCAGAGGATCCTGTTTGTTGTGTTGTGTGTGTGTGGGGGGGGGGGGTGGCAAGGGATAGGAGGAGAGTATGGAAAGCTTCTGCGTGTGCAGGGGGGTGTTAAGGAACTCACACACACCCACACTATGGCATTTCTTAGCCCTGGTCTACTTCTGGAATGATGCCCAAGAAACTGATGATGGATTTGCTTTTGGAAAAGGGCTAGAGGTCTGAGGTGGGAAGGAGGCTCTTCGTTGTATGTGCTTCAGACATTTAGAATTTTTAAACTATATGCATCCATTGCCCATTTTAAGTTTTTTTACATAATGAATGGAAAAGCACAGTGGGACAGATCCTCTTGGGATTATCTGTGTGTCTTGTGTGGGTGACTGAGCTTGCCAGTCATTTGCTTTCCCCTCTGTTCCTTCAGCCCCGTCTCTCTCTGACTGTGAAACATTAAACAGTCTTGACATGAAAGTGCCCTCTAGCTGCTGAGGGGACATTCAGGAAGAGCCTGCCAGAGGCAGAGGCAACCGGAGCCCTTGATGAGGAGAGGGGCGGTTTGAGCTGCTGATTTGGGGTCTGTGTGACAGTTAAAGGCTCTGAGGGGACATGCTGGAAGTTGCCCTCGTATCTTTGGAGGGTGCCTGGAAGGAATTCACTTTCCTGATTCCTCAGTCCAGCGCAAGTATTTTCCTCAGAGCATCGTGTTTTAAGGGCTCCCAGGATTTGTTTAATCAAATGTGGTAAGACACTCAGACATACTAATGACTGTCATGCAGAAGAAGTTGGTCATACCCACGGATCCCTAGGGACAGAGGACTGCAGTACCACAGGGGACAGGGGTAGGAAATGTGGGGAAAAGCCTATATTACTGTGTCCATGAAAGGGACAGGCAAGGCAAGTAAGCAGGTTTAGGATTGGTTAGGTTTAGGATTGAACAATTTGGGGCTCTGGGGTGTAGGAGCTGTCCCTGCTTGTCTGACACCTGACCCTGGAATAATTAGGGCAGGTGGGTAGTGGCCCAGAGAGTGAGAGCCCAATAAAGGAGTTAGACATGGTTCATCCGCATCAGGGCAGCCGAATGAGGTTGCTTAGGTTTTTCATAGCACAAGCTATTCGGCTCAGGGGTGAGTGGGGCTGTGACGGGGATCCCGACTCCTGGGGTCTAAGGTGTTATGGATTAGACTAGAGAAGTTCATGTGGACCACCGAATCCTGTGGAGGAAAAGGGACAGCGCGGCCAGTCTCTCAGGGGGCTAGTGCCTCGACCCTTTCCTTGACAAGGGTTTCCTTGATCCTTTTATTGGGTTCAGTTTGCACAGGAATAGAGGGTGTGTATGTAAAGCTCATCAGTCATTGTTAGGCAGAAATGATTAAACAATAGATAATACTCAAAGAACTCTGAGGGCTTATTCTGAGTCAGGGTCAGATAGTTAAAGTGCAATAAAACTTTGGGGAACAAACTCACTTCCTACTTGGACCCTTATCATTTAAATTGAGGGTATTAGCAAAGCAGGTTTCACAGGATTTTACATATTCTTTCTTAGGCCCGATTGCCCTAAGGAATCTGCCCTTTCTAGCACAGGGCCGCCCCCACCTGCAGCATTGTCTCAGGCTTAGGTTGAACCGGGGAAGAAAGGCAGCCAAGAGATAAGGAGACTTCTTGCAGACAGAATGAGGACTCAGGCTGTGTCAAAGCTGAGGGGCGATGCTCCATCACCCCCTTTCTCCATAGACCCCCGAGTCCTTTCCTGAGGGCCCCTTTGTGACTGACCATTCCTGTCCTAGGTCATCCCCCTTTTGAGGAATCTTACCCATCGTTTGCTAACCAGTCATCCACCCAGGGCCAAGCAGGGTGAAGAGAAAGGGGGAAGAGGTGGTGTACCTACAAGGAAGATAAGCCTTGTCTCCTAAGTGGCTTTTGGTCCCAAGGTCCTTTACTCAGCCGTAGCCACGGGGGTTTACAGCTTCTGAAACCAGGCAGGGCAGTTCCCCACAGGGCTGCAATTCAGTGGAGCCCGTTTATAGTGGGTGTGCTCGTGGCACTGCACCCCGCTCATGGGCTGGCATTCTCCAGTGTGTTCAAAGGCACCTCATGGGTTCGTAGAGGGCCTTATAGTCCTCGTCTCGGGTTGCTGTTCTATCTTATTTGTCAGTATTTGCTTACTCTCTCTTTCCCTGACTGCACTATCAGTTCCAATGATGTCCGAATCTTGTCTGCATTTCCCATTAGACTCGGAGGTCTATGAAGGCAGGTTTCAGGTCTTTGCTCATACTGTCTCCTCAGTGCTGGGCACAAGCACTTGTAGGTCCTGGAAAGTGCTGATGGGGTGAGTAAGTGAATGGTATGCAGAACCCAAACTCCAGAATTGTGTGTGACCTGTGCCCCCAACTCTTATTTCCTTGGCACCTAAAGGATAAGCTCTGTTTGCCTGCAGTTGACTTGAGTAGGTTGAGTAGCATCTTTCCTCCTGTCCCTGCTTCTTTTGGGGCTGAGAAGACACAAGAAGGGGAGGCTTTTATTCTCATAAGAAAGTTTTTGTCTGCCCCGCCCTGTAGTATATCTTCCAGGTGCTTGTAAGAGTGAATAGCTGGGTATGTGGCACAGGGCGCTGAGCCCACAGGCTGTGGCTGGAGCACAGGCTCCAACCTGAAGGAGTACAGCTTAGCAGGAAGAGCCTGCAGTTCCCAGGCGTGGCCGTGGGAGACTACGGACAGAACCCGGGTTCCTGACTTTCAGAAGAGGCCCTGGGCTTGATCCGTGTGCACGTGTGTACACACACCTCCTAGCAGCCCCGTGCAGGCAGGACAGGTGTCTGCACCAGGTCTCGTCCTTCCCAGGCCCAGGACAGTGCTGCCAAGGACCTAACGGGAATGTGCGTTCCTCATCTCTCTCCAGGTTTCCGTTCTATTATGAACTGAAAATAGCATTTGTAGCCTGGCTGCTGTCTCCCTACACAAAAGGCTCCAGCCTCCTATACAGGAAGTTTGTGCACCCCACGCTGTCTTCAAAAGAAAAGGTAATTTATGCTTTTCTGCCTATCACGCCTTCCAGTGAGTGAAAAGTTTAAAAAGTAATTTAAAAGGGGGGCAGTTTACTTTATTGTAGGAGACCCTTGATTGGTTATTTGTCCCTAACAAGTTGCTCCTTCTAGTCTTTTTTTAAAGTCTATTCTTCTGACATATTTAGAAATAGTCGTGGAGTTCTCAAAAAGATATTGCCTGTCATTTTTCATTGTAAGATGTTTTGATACATTGAAATAAGAGACAGAAGAGATTCACTCACAGTTCAACTCCCCAAACTGAATTTCCTTCCTTCTGTCCTGCCCAGTCCCTGTCCTGTTACAGGTGTGATTTACACAGACTGTTGACCGAAGCTCTGAGAGGTTAAATGACTTGAACTGCTAGAATATTTTAAATTTCCGGTACAGTGTTTCCTTTATTGTTCAGTGACAACATGTGTACAATCAATGAAATGTGTGTTATTTTAGTAATTGTCACTTGGTAAGTATTAGTAAGAATAGTCATAATTTGTTTCATGAGCTTTACCTTTTGCATTCATTTTGCTTCAAAGTACTTCACAAACATCCTTAAAATAAAAATGTAGATTTGCATAATGCCAGAGATGGAAAAAAAGACAGGGAGAAATTGCAGGAAAGGATCAACAATAACCAAGAATTCAAGTAAGAATTAAAACATATCTTTTGAAAAGGAACTTAATTCTAAGCTACTTATAAGGTAATATCACTATAAAATTTTTAAAAAAGATTTTTTTGATTTATTTTCAGAGAGAGGGGAAGGGAAGGAGAGAGGGAGTAAAACATCAATGTGTGGTTGCCTCTTGCACGCCTCCCACTGGGGACCTGGCCCACAACCCAGGCATGTGCCCTGACTGGGAATTGAACCAGCAACCCTTTGGTTCACAGGCTGTCACTCAATCCACTGAGTCACACCAGCCAGGGCTAAATTATTTTTTGTTTAACATCTCCACCGAACCTAATTTGTGAAATTTGCTTTCAAGGGATTGTTCTATTGTTTTTTAAATATTTCATACAGTAATGAATGCATAATGCATTAAAATAAACATTACTTCTGTCTTACTAATTCGTCTGATAACTTCTTTTTTTATGCATACCAGTCTGTGTAACCTTTCTTTAAATAAAATTTTAATTGCACCAAAAAACCCCAAAACAAGTCAAAAACTAAGAAAACAACCACAAGAAAACATAAATACAGTGTTTGTATTCTGAGATCATAAACATGTTTGCATGTAATTCATTTTTTTAAAGATTTTATTTTATTTATTTTTAGAGAGGGGAGGGAAGAGAGAAAAAAAAGGGTAAGAAACATAAATGTGTGGTTGCCTCTTGCGTGCCCCCTACCAAGGACATGGCCTGTGCAACCCAGGCATGTGCCCTGACTGGGAATTGAACCAGTGACCCTTTGGTTCTCAGAGCAGCACTCAATCCACTGAGCCACAGCACCCAGGGCTCATTTTTATTTGGTTTTCATAATGATCTTTGAGCACCACCATGCATAGAGTTCAGTTTCTTTTCTTGACATATTATTCTGATTTATTTTTTTACAGAATAAATTCCCAAGAGTGGTTTCAAATTGTATAATTCATTAATTATTACGTGACTTTCTAAACTGATTATGTGATAGGATTCTTTAACATAAAATAGGAGCACTATAGGTGGCTTTATGTTACTTTGTATTATTTCTGAAAGTCGAATACTTTGGATGTCTAGGGGAAAGTTTGGGGAACATGCCACTTGGATGAGCAGGCTACTGTAGACATTTCTGAGACTCACTTAAGGACCCGTGGCACAGCACCTTATGTCTCATGAGGGTCAGATTCAGGGAGTGGTGGTCCTTCTCTTGATCTGGTTATCAGATTCCTATTCATCCTACCTTCCTTTCCCAAAGGAAGGCTCTGCTTACCCTGAAGCTGCCAGTGTAATTCCCATCCAAGTGGAGGTGGCTGACCCTTAAGAACTGCCAAGAATCACTTCTAGAATCAGTTAGGGGTCACTGCAAACTTACTGCGGTGACTTCCTGGGGAAGCTTAAACACAGGATGAGCGGGGGTGGGGGGGTGGGGGGGGTGGACTGTCCCACCTGGCACCTCAAAGCAGAGGAAATGCACCAGTGTGCTGAACTTCAGAGGAGACTGAGGCCAGAGGTCATTGTCTGGCTGAACTCTGAAATGAGCTGCTGTGATTACACAACTGTCGTGTATAACAGAACAACCCAAACAAACCAACCAATGAAAAGAATAAGCCAGAGTTGATTCAGATTTGACCTTAAGCAAGTATTTTACTTGTCTTTAGTCCCTGAAGGCAACCTCAGTTCCCTTTCCCACCTCACCTTTACCTTGTGGCGTGATGCTGGATCATGACCTCTGATTTCTGCTTTTATTTCATTACCTACAAAATGATCTCCCTTATCAACAAAAATAACACGTATTTCTTTCTGTGCCCTCATCCCTCCCATCAGTAGGCATATGGGGTGGTATTTGGGTATAGGATGAAAGAGCAACACAATAATGGAATTTTAGAGCTGCAAGGGCCCAATTACTGGAGAGAAGGAAGATCACAATGGTTCCCACTTATGGAAGCCAGCCACTGTGTCAGACAGATACTTAACTGGAAATGACCTCACATAACCCTCACTGTGCTCCTGAGTTAGGTGCTATCACTGTCCCCATTTTCAGAAGACAGAACTGTGTGAAGAGGGTAAGTACTTGCCAAGGCCTGACAGCCAAGCTGGTGGCAGGCCTGAGGTTAGACACCTTACCCTTGGCATTCCCTGCACCCCAGAGTCCTTCAGTGTCGTAGAGAGTGGCTGCGTGCAGACTGGAAGGAGTGTCCACATCCGGGACCCCGGAGCCTCCCTGCAATGTTAGAGGGCCGTAGGAACAATCCCTAGGTGTTGCTCAAAGAAAACCTTCCTGGCTCTGTGAGTTGCTGTCTTCACAAAACTTTCATTTCCATCACCTCCTCTGTCTTCCCCATCTCCACAGTCTACACGCACCCAAGGTGCCTATGACTTTGGTCCCAGTGAGAATCAGTGACTGGGCAAGGTGCTAAGTCCACACCTCTGGAGAACAGAGAAAGAAGGACAGAGATCTACCTGAACCTTCCAACTCAGTGTGTCTCTTTTCCCTTTAAACAGGAAATCGACGATTGCCTGGTCCAAGCAAAAGACCGAAGTTACGATGCCCTTGTGCACTTCGGGAAGCGAGGCTTGAACGTGGCGGCCACAGCAGCAGTCATGGCTGCCTCCAAGGTACGGTGCTGGGCCCTGACCACCACGGCTGTGTGAGCGTCTCGGTCCCTCCAGCCTGCCCTGCTCATCCCCTGCGCAGCTCGCACAGGACAAGCTAAGGACCAATCAATGGTTCCTTGTCCTTGTTTGAGTCTCTGAAAATCTGATGGAAACATGGTGAATCTTGCGCCCAGACAATTGTGCGTGCCTGTGTGTGCGCACACACAACGCGTGCAATGTTAAGAGGTTCCCAGAGCCCCTGAAGCTCAACTGTGGGTCCTAGTTTAACATCCTCTAAATTACTTGGAGCTTAGGCCTAGGACAAATGGAGGAGGAAGGGGTGGGAAGGAGAGCATCTCTGCAGCTTCCCAGGTGAGTGGCCTAGCAGGTCCAGGGGAGGACCCGGGCTCCCAGAGAAAGTTGAGTGGCTCGGACACAGAGGGCAATGCTACGAGTAACAGCAGCAACTACGGGAGGAGGGGCTTTGAAGAACACTGGTCTGGTGGGATATTGTGATGTTAACTTTACATCTCTTTTCCTTCCAGCCCCGTTCACAGGTCCTCTATGCTCCTTCTTAGTTTCTTTTCACATCACATGCTCCTTGTCATTGTGTCAGTTTCTCATTTTGGGCCCTGCCTCGTAAAATTAAATCGGTAAATGTTTACTCAGAATAAATTCAGCAGATTGGCCTAGTTTTCCTGGTGACAACCCCTTGCCCAAATCCACATGCGGAGTGGGGCTTTTCAGGAGCTAGGGATGGAGGAGAGGCAGTTTCCCTAATGTTCAGGTAGTGAGTTGAGTTAGCAGAGAGGGGAGCTGTAAGGCCTGGGTGGCCATGTTAGGGTTCACAGGCAAAAGGAGGCGGAGCTGTGGAAGAGGGCGATTAACAGAGATCCTGGTGCTCATGGGCTTTGGGAGGGTTGTGTGGTGGAAGGTGCTGACAGCCCGCTGGGTCAGGGCACTGAGCTGGATTTTCTGTGCCCTGAAGCAGGGCAAAGCACATTGGCAACAGTTTTGGCACCGGGTGCTGAGGGTCTGTTTGAAAAGCACCTTCCATCTGAAGTCAAGGAGTTCTGCAAACATGGGCTGGGAGAGAGAGCAAAGGGAAGGATGCCTATTTCAGAGGAGGACCAGCTCCTTCTGTAACGCAGAACCTCTTACAGCTGGTACCTGGAGGGGCCTCGCCCACCTCAGTGCAATAGCTGCTAGCAAGGCGATGGGCCCCAGTGAGTGTCTTTGGAGGGGGCATTCCGCTTTGGTATCCCAAAGAGGTATATTAGGGTTTACAAAGAACAGTGAATTCCAAGATCCTTCTGTATGAGATGCAACCATTCTATGCATTTATTTTTAAGACAAAAAAAAGAGAACTCAGATTTGCTAAATTCTGAATTTGTCAGGCCAACTTTATAACGTAACGCTACAGAAACCTTCCCTCAGCCCCTCTCCCCACCCCATCTCCACTGCTTCTGAAGCCCGGTGGAAGATGGGTTAATGCTCTTTCCTCAGCTCAGTCATAGAGCATAGATGTGCTGTATTTATCAGGGTGGCTCAACGCGGGTCACCTGTCCACCCAGCCACGTGTCTATGAATTTTATTCTGGTGGTAATTTTGTAGGGCCATCCATTGCCAGGTCCGCCTCAAGCTGGAGCCCCCAGGGTCTTGCCAATCCCCCCCACACTCTGACCACCTGGGGAAGCCCAGGAGTCCAGGCTCCCCCACAGCTGGGCACCTGCAATTGACTAAACCTGAGGGAAGCTGCAGACAGTCCAAAACTTGCCCCAGGAAATAACATCTCAATAGTTCTTTCCAGAAGCACTAAAGTAGTGAGGGATCCCTGCTTCCTGCTGAATTGGGTTTTAGATGAGAAAATTTGCTGCCTTTGGGGGACTTTGCTTTTCCTCTATAAATATAAATATCTTGAGAGAAGAAACAAGTCCTCTCTTCCAAAAATAATGCCCTTTATTTTTGAAACAGATGTGTACTGAAGAAGAAGAAGAAATAAACTCCAATTTGGCTGAGGGATAAACCAGAGGTTTCCATAGCAACAGTGGATCACCCCAGGCAGGGGGTCAAAGGCTGACAAGTCACCAGCGGGTCCAAATCCGGCTTTCATGTCCTTACCACCTGGGAAGCTTTGTTTTTTATTTTTCAGTAGGTTCTCAGATGTGCTGAATCAGAGTCTCAGGCAGCTGGCTCATAAATCTCTATTTTTAACAAGTTCCCCAGATGGTTTTTGAATAGCCAGCTCTGTCTGGGTCCCTGCTTGAGGCCTGCATTCAGAATCATAAGTACACAGGTGATTAGGGTCCGAACACTAACTTCTTTAACATCCCTGGGATGCACACTTAGCTCCTTAGAGACATTAACCTTGGGAATGAGAAAGCTGAGCCTGAACAACCTTGTTGATTATTCCAGGAGGACAGTCAGAGCAATTTTGTGGGGGAAAAAGACACCTGCCAAGTCTCCCATGGCTAGGGTGGGCCTTATGTCCGAACCAGGACACATCTGAGAGTGAAAGGGGTGCTGTCATAACGTCCCTGGGACGACAGGCACAGCTAGGTCTGTCCCAAGCAAGCTGGGCTGATGGTGGCCCAACTCATGGCCCGTGGACCCTGCCTGTCTCTTTCCAGAAAACACCCTCAACTCACCAATCAGTTCTCACTCTAAATACGTACTATTTTTAGCCAAGTGGATTCCAGGGAGAGTGTGAGGTAACTAGAAGACTCTGTTTTAGCTTGAGCAGATTAAAAGGCGGCTGGGATCAGGGGGCTGGAGGAGGGGTCACTCCCCCCTTTGCTTCTGCTCTTTTTTCTTTCATTGATGGCTCCCTAGGAGCAACCTGCTGCGCTCAACAGGAAAGAAAAAGGCTGTTTGGCTCTATAATTTTTTTCCTTACAACTTTGTTCCCTAAGCATTTTCCCTAAAAAGTAAAAGGGAGGAGAGGGAGAAGAAGAAGAATGTTTGCAGGGTTTTTTTTGGCATCATCACGAAGCGTGAAGAAACTTTTTAAACCATATCATTGTACAAATATAAGTTGTTATTAATGTTAATATTATCTTACAACTGGAAAAGCTAAAACGAAAAAAATTACAGATGGGAAATTTCTCCTCAGGCCCGTTAACCCCCATCCCACTTCAGGTCTTCCCCGCAGTCTCATCCCTGTCCCCGGGAAGTGTTGACGTACCTCTGCTTTCAGTGAAAACTGCGGTGTCCTCCCTGGGGACACACTTCTCTGCACCTTCGCCTCGGCCAGTCTGCCGACTGCCTCCTTGGTAGGCCTTGGCTATTAATTGCACCCAGGGGGAAGATGGAGCCCCAGGACTTGTTAAGACTAGAACTGGAAATCTCCCTTTAAAAAAAAATAATGCTCTGGAAATTCATTCCTTACGCAAAACACATTTGCACACAAAAAACTGTAGTGAAACAAATTGATCAAAAGTTTAAAAACCATGAGATTTCCAGGCCACCTTGCTCCCCTTGAATCTACATATTAGGTCTGCTCCATCTACCCAAGCCTCAGACCTGGTGAAACCAACCAACCTTTTCACATGTTTAGTTACTTGAAAATAACACTGTGCTCCTGCCCAGGGGATCCTGTCTCCAGAGCAGGTGCCGTGGGACCAAGCCTGTCAGTCAGGTCGTTGGTTTCAGACATCAGCTCTGAGGAAAGCGACAAGGTCAATCGATTCTGTCGATTGATTCTGAAGGTCTGACATTACCTGCCTGTCCATTCCATGCTTCCTTGTGCAGATGATACACAGCTGTATGCACCAAGGGTCCTAGTGCACAGAGAGGCCAGCCTGCCTGACCTCAGAGAAGAGCCTGGTTGAGCCTAGAGGGTCTGAGAGGGCACTTTTAGGATCCCATGTGCTGGGGAAGAGCTGTTTCTTGGCTGTGATGACGCAGCAACTTCCTGCTCAACTCCTCCTTGCAACTCTTCTCTCCTGCTTGCTCTCTCCTTCTTCCCCTCGCTCCCTGAGTGTTGGGTGGGATTTCTCCCCACGCTCTCCTCTCCCTCCTTGGCCCACCTCCTTTCCCTCACCCTCAGCTGTCACCTGCCGCTTCTCCTTCCTCCTGCTTACTCTTCAAGTCCTGCCCATTTGACATCCCTTCCCTCCTTCCTCGTGTCTTCTCTTCACCCTCCCTCCTAACTTGGACTGTTGCAGTAGCTCCCAGGCAGTCGGCTACCCCTCTCCCTCCCCTTTGAGCCTGAGCAGTCAGACCCTGATCCCAGCCTTCCTCTCTTGTCTCTTCTTACCTTTTGCTTTTTGTACTTTACCCACAGCTCCACTGTGCACTATTTCTAGAATTTTCTCTTTCCTGCTCACATTGGTCCTTCATCCGCCTCCATTTCTACCTGTTTGAAATTCTGTTCACCCTTCCAGGTCAAATGCTGCTGCCTCTGCAGAACCCTTCCAGTTTCCAGTGGAATGGGTCTCTCTTGCTCTTGTCATCATTCACATCCGTGTTGTGTCATCCCCAGTGGGTGTCAGTGAGTGTTGAGGGAATGAAGGACTGTCACACATATCTTTAGCGGTCCTGGCCCGTAGAGTAACACTTAGCATCAAGTGGCTTTGGAGATAAGTAGAGTGGGGTTAAAATTCCCAGCTCCCCCACTTACTGATGCATCTCTGGGAGCCTCAGCTTCTCCACCTGCAAAATGGATGTGGTAATGGCACCTACCACAGAAGAGTTATGAGACAGTGCACATAGAGAGTTTATAAGATGTAGAGCTCATACTAAAAGATTAGTAAAGGTTTCCTGTCACTCACTTCTGCTCATGTTGGTCCGATCTCTGAGGCTGACTGGGGACTTCTCTTTACTGTTGGATAGAATAAAAGAAACAAGTCTGGTGCTGCCATTGGGTAGGTATTTATGGTTCAGATTCTTCCACAGAGGAGGCCGAGCTTCCCACCAGTGTGGGTCTGTGCCCTCCCCTCTTGTCCTGTGTGTGCCCTGCCTGTGCTGTGTCTCCCTGGGCAAGCCACCCTCCTGCCCTGGGCTCGCGTCCCTCTGGGCCCGACCTTCCAAACAGCTGCTCGCTTCTCTTCAGCCTGGAGGCTAGCGGGTCCCTGTGGGGCAGCTTGCAGTGTGTGGGCACCTGCCCTGCTCCTTCTCCATTCTGTCCCTGTCCTGCCCCAAAAGGGAGGAAGCCACCTAACTGTGGGTTGCTAGTGTAGGAAGGGATCTCAGATGCCATCACTGTAGCTACTTGTTTCACAGGGGAGGACACTGAGGCCCAGGTGTTGCCCAAGGTCACACAGCCGAGCTGGGGTCAGAGTGAGACTTTCTAGTTTGCAGTCCAGCATCCCTTGCATCGTTCCCAGCACCCCTAGGCCCCGAGGCGCCCTGGTGAGTGCCTGAGAAATGATAGTCTGCCATGGAGAACTTGAGAGTCAACCTCTGCCCTGGTACTTTTAAGGTTAGCTGCCTACCCTTCTGACCATTTTACATCATATACCTCTAGGAGTTAGGGAGGCGCATTAATGTGCAAAGCCAGCCAGCGAATGCTGCCAAGGCAGGCTCCCTCTTTGCCTTGAGACAGGTCTGAGGCACCACATTCATGCAGGAGGTGGTACATACCAGGTGAAGGAATTTGGATCACACGTACGTGTTACCACGATAGAGTTTCTTTATCACTTAGGATAACATGGGCACATTTGTAAATAAATGTAACCGTAGTTTCACTAACAGCTGAACAAATTTGTCCTGTGGATACCTGCCCCCCCAGCCCCGACCTTTCTTTCCTCCCACTGCTGCTTTCCAACAGGCTTCTTGTGCCACTGTACCCCACAAGGAAGAGGTAAGCTAGCACACTAACCTCCCCGTGGGGCCTTCACCTCTCTAAGGAGGAAGCGTGGAGCAGGCGAAGCTCCGGCTGAGACAATTCATATCAGCAGTGGACTTGTACATGCAAAGGCAGTGACAGCGCTGTGTGTGGAGGGCCTCCCTGACCCGGAAATACTTTCCCCTGGGTACTGGCCTGATTTAGGTGGCCAGGCCCTGATCTGGGTGACGGGGACTTGACTCATCTGTGCCTCATCATTATCTAACACATCCCGCTCTCGGCCCCCAGCACCTGCTGCTCAGCTCAGCAGCCGCCTTCTCTGAGCAAATCCATCCTGTTTCAAACCACAGCACCAAACCAGCCTTCCCTCGGTGGTTAGTGTTTGTTTCTGCACTGTTGTCTCCCATGAAGGGCACTTCCCAGAAGGGAGGCCAGGAAGTACAGTCTTTTTTCCAGACGTGTATGTGCCCAGCTGCAAGCTGAGGAAGGAGGACAGAGCAGGTGTGGGGCCAGTGCTCGGTGTGTGCCAGGCACTCAGTACATCCAGGATGTTCTGATTGTCCTAAAGGCCTAACTCCTCCACGTTGCTCACTACTCAGCACCATCACTAGAGCGCTCATCAAAGTTCACGTGTAGGCAGCCCAAGTACACGCCTTCCAGGCTTATCTCTTGTTACCCTCCGGCACCAGAACCTCTCCCAGACCCATTCAGTCCGTTTCCCAGACGCGCCCCAGGTTCTCCACTCTCACGCGTGGCCCCGACCCTCATAGGCACAGCATTCTTCCCCCTTCTTTCTGGTGATGCAGTCCTTGCCTTGCTCAAGTCAGAGGCCTCCCCCCTGCCCCAAGGTGGGAGGGTTTCGGCTGACAGTGCTGTCTCTCCCTCCTCTGGATTTGTCACACGCTGTGTCATCGTTGTCATTTGCCACCTTGTGTGCATTTACGTCTTGACGCCCCAGTAGACTGTGAGCTCCTTGGGAGCAGGAACCGTATTGTGTTTTGTGTTCATCTTTGTTCCTCTGCAGGACTTCGCACAGAGCTTCATAAACGTCAGTGTTGCTGTGAATGACCGAGAATGAATGAATGAGGGGAGAATTGTGTGGGTGTAGGAGGCGAGGGCAGCATGGCTCCCTTCAACCCTGCTCTGTAGGCTTGGCGCCCATGGCATTTTTTTCTTTTCCCCTTTATCAGGTGGCTCGACTCTTTCATTTTGTCTTCTCTTGGGACCTCAGTGAAGGGCAGGTAACCCCGTTGAGAGGTGTGACTAACTCCAAACTGATCCGGTGGGGTAGAGAAACCAGCTGCCCCCACCACCCACCAGCGCGTGGTCCGGATCAGAGCCAGGTGCTCCCCTGCTGACACCTGTGTGCGTGCGTGCGTGTGCGTTCACTCCAGAGCCAGCTCCCACTTCACCGCTCTTCCGGAGCCTCTTACTGTATTAACTTGGCAGCACCTAACTTACTTGTTTTTTTCTTCCTTTCTTTGATGCCTGGAAATGAATTCAGTGTGATGGTTGGTGCTGTGGTGGGGAGCAGTCCTCTCTTCCTCTCGTTTGTGAATGATGCTGTGTCACAAGCAAGGCCCCATCCGGCATGTTGTGAGGGGCCCGCCTGGCACCGCGGTGGGGCGCGTGGGGCTGCGGCGGGAACTCTGTCAGGGGGCGGCTGCACCCGGGCCTCAGCGGAAGCACTAACTGTCTCTGAACTACTAGTGGAAATGTGGCCGTGCCGGGGGCTTTGCTGTCAGTTGCCTGCCGCTAAAGCCTTTTGCCTTACTCTCAGTGTCCGCCGTTGGGGGTAAGATGTGTCTGAGTGGCACGACGTCCCTCTGCGGGGAGGGCCTCGTCCAGGGCTCACAGCCAGGCTGACGGCTGTGTCGAATCCGGGCTCCATGGGCCATCAGGCAGGCATTCTTGGTGGTAAACTGTTTTCCTTGGGCTACCAGGTTATTAAAGGTCTGGAGCTTCCTGAACACACCTCCCTCCCCTGAGCTAGAAAACATCAAAACGTATAGACTTTGCTGTATGCTGGCTCAGGTTAATAGAAAATTTAGTGACCCAGTTTACCTCTAGAAGTCCAATTTTCTAAGAGTTTTGCCCGTCAAAAAAGATGAAAATAATCAGGAATGTCATTGCTGTTGCCCCCAAGACAGGTCTGTGAGATTCCTGCGGTTCTGTGGCGCACAGCTGTGCTGAGAGAACCACGGGGCCGCATTGTGTTGCGGTGCCCAGAAGGCTGCAAACACTCGGTCACAGCAAATCTGGGTGCACAGTGCTCACGGCACCGTGGGGAGTGGAGAGCACGAGTCCTACAGCACGGGCAGGAGACGCGTTTCTAGGATGTCTGCCTTCCTGCCCGGGGCGCTGGGCTGCAAAGGGGCTCTTCCGGGGAGGGTGCCGAGACAGTGCTGACCTGTGCCGCCACAGCCCTGGGGGCAGTTGCTCAGACGCACCCAAGTAGGCTGACCTTAGTTCTTGGAACGTCCCCAAACTTCTTAGCTTTTTCTGTGGCTCATACTCTAAAATCATTGTTGACTGGGGAGGAAATTGAAACAAAGCATTTAAAACACACACACTGGAATTTTTTCACCCTTTGTCAGAGTTACCTTGGGAGGTCCAGCGTGTGTTCTAGAGATTTTCAAAGCATTCTAGAAACTCTCATTGTAGAATTGAAATCAGAACCAGGTAGTGAGCCGTAGATGAGGGTCAGACATTCTTGAACTCAGAATCTCCCAGGTGGAAAATTCTTGCTCCACCCTTTAACTTCCCAATGAAATCGCAAGGCTGAGAAAGACCCAGCTGACCTGGTGGAGGGCCCAGAAGCAGGGTTGGGGCGGGGCAGTCAGGGCTGGGGGCCAGTGCACTGCAGTTTCCGGCTATGCCATGTCTTCCTTCTCAGTTGCTTTTCTTTGTTCTGTTTTATTTTTAAATAGTTCCATGTATTTTTGTTGTTGTTGTTTAGATGGCATTTCTCAGCATCATGCAAGCTCTGTGTTTACAAAATGGGGTCCTCAAGGTGATCTTTGGAGAGTGCTGTGGCTGTTGTTAAAAATGACATTGTCATGACTTCTCAATGCTTATCCCCATTCACGGCACCGCATTCTAAAAGGACAAAAGAAGGTATTAAGTGCAGAGTAGGTCTCATGCCTGCTCCCTTCCTCCACTGATGCAGTTGTTTCAGAAGAAACCTGAGGTCTTTCAGAAGGCGCTTTCACTAATGCCTCCATTTGACCATTAACACCATGTAACTTGGGTCCCCATTTCCTTAGTGAACAAAACTTCAAAGACCTCATCCTGGTGGAATGAAGTGGCAGTGCTGAATGGTGGCTGCTACTCAGAGATACACTCCTCTTCCCACCTGCTTCCCATCTTCCCCCCTCCCTGCCAAGTCCTCCAAGTCCTCCAAGTCCTCCACCCCAAGTCCTCCAAGGCCAGGTCAAGTGCATTCTCCTCCAGATGCCTTGCCTCTCATGTGCCCTCTGTCCTGTGCACCCTACAGACCCCTGGCATCTTCCATACATTCCTCATAGACAAAGCCCAACTCCCTGCTCAGTAGGGTGCTCCTTCTGTTCTGGGACCCTGGCTGATGCATCAGGGTGGGGTGTGGATTTCCTGCTGTTGTATTTTATGCAGCGATTCGCTCGATAAATGGCCATATGTACATTCATTCAACTCCTTGACCACTAATGTACACTTGGCAGAGTGGCAGATACTGAGTCCGCAACAGTAAATAAATAGTCTGGAGGGGAAGGCAAACCGGCAAACAATGCCAAAGTTAACACAATTGTATGGAGTGCAGTAAGTACAGACTGCGTTGAGAGCACAAGGCAGGCTGCTGAGGTGGTTAGAGGAAGAAGCTTCTCTTAGAAGCACAGCCGTACTGTGTGGACTCGAAAGTGCTGTGTGCATTTCTAAGGCATGTCATTGTCCTACGTGCCACTGAGAAAATAGTGCCAGTTAGATTAGGACATAATGCTTTTTCACTTAGAACTTTTACTTCTACTCATTAAAATAACTCAGCCTTGTTTAGATACAGATTTTTCTGTGTGTCATTTTTGTGTACACACCGAAAGGAACATATAAATACAAGACATTGATTGAGGTCTTCCTAACTTCACTTGTTTGCATTCAGAGTCTGACTCTTCTGAGTCACTTTCCAGTTCAGCTCATCAGAACCCATTTGCAGCCGTGCTGTGTCCTGCTCTGCCTCCCAGGGCCTGGGTGATGCAGAGCTGTCGACCCTGGGATTTCAACGCTGCTCATACCCATTCTGCCAGTTCGGATGCTGCCACTTTCTGGATCTTACCAGAAGTTGTCAGTGATATGTGTTTTAGACAACTGGACTCATAGTCCTTCTTTAAGTGGCTCTTAGTTGTTTTTTTGACTGAACTTGGGTTTTGGTTGTTCAGTCCCCCATGGGGAGTAACAGCCAAGTACGTTTGTGTGTAGGCGATGACAGCGGTGTCAAGGCAACAGCACTGGTGAGACCCACCCCAATTTCAGAGATAAAGAGATGTCTTAGAATTGCTGAACATCATTTACCAGAAGTCTAGGAGTAAGTGAGCACCATCATTATTCCTAGTGACGTCCATGATGTCAAGGCTCTGGATGGATGTCTCGGTGAGCCTCCTGGTCATAAGATGGCAGTTCTGCCACACTTGGAGGCAGAAAGCAGGCAGCAGGGTCAGGCATTTCTCCTGCATGTCAGGAAAACACCTTCCCCAGTTATCAGATTCCCCTTACCTCCCATTGGCCAGGACAGCTACGTGGCCACCCATAGCTGCAAGGGAGGCTGGGAAATCTTTTTTTTTTTTCTCATCATTTCAATAGTGGGGCTGGGAATGACTTCCGAATGGTTAACTAACAGTATATGCTACTGTAGTCAAATATGCTTGGGATACACTGAGTTAACCCAAAATACTGCAGGACTTCCCAAACCTTTTAATATGGTAATGTGGCTCATTGAATTATTAAAAACATGGTATTAAGCTTTTTCCAAACTTAGAAAATGTAGTAAAATTGAGAATCTAATTTTACTTGTTTCCAGAGTAAAAAAAAAAAAAAAAAAGAACGTTCTCACCCTGGCCAGGTAGCTCAGTTTGTTAGAGCATTGTCCAATATGCTAAGGTTGCAGGTTTGATCCCTGGTCAGGGCACTTATAAGAATCAACCAATGAATATATAAAATAAGTGGAACAATAGATGTCTCTCTCTTCTCTCTTTTCCCTACTTCCTCTCTCTAAAATCAGTTTTAAAAAATTAGGGAAAAACAAAACAAAATAAAAACCAAAGTGAAGGTTCTCGAGAGCAAAGCTGAAGTGGCAGCGTTGGGATGGGGTTTGGGGCGAGTGGGTAGAAATGGGGTCGTGAGGAGAGACAGAGCAGGGCTGAGAAGTTTACAGATGAGAGGAGCATCTCGGGTTCTTTGAACAGGTACAGCTGATTTGTTTTCAAGAGCCTTGTGTCCCTGCTGCTGTGAATTCCTCTGAGACAGGACTAGGTTGATACCGAGCCATTATCTCCTCCTCCTCCTCTTCCTCCTCTTCCTCCTCCTCCTCCTTTCTAGCCTCTGCCACTTCCAGTCTCCATGATGCTCGTGACATTGGAGCTGGGCTGGCTGGCTTCTGGGAGTGGAGCAGAGGACCCTGCTGAAACTGGCGTGCGTGCTGCCTGCTGCCGCCGTCCCTCGGACAGCCTGTCAAGCATTTGCGAGAGCTGGCAGACACATTGCTGCCGTTAGTTCCCGGTCATTTGTTTGGGTTCGGGATCACAAAAACCCTCCTGGTCCTTTTGGTCAGGTGTAATCTTTTTTTTTTTTTTTTTAAATTTCAGTAGCAACTCAAAGTGTGGTAGGCAGCAACGGCAGTTATCATCACATCCAACATTTTCTGGACACTGGCTGTGCATTGGGCTTCCTCATGGATCTCTTTTGCCTGCATAGTCTCATTTAATCCTCAGCACCACCCTGCTGGGTGAGGCTCTTCAGCGGATGAGAGTGCTGGGGCAGAGCGAGGCTGCAGTCGCCCTGCTGCTGGTGATGAGGTCGAGGCCGGAATTTGAATCCAGGTGTGACTAGGGCTGTTGCTCTCAGTGTTCACTGTAGCCTCTGGTACGGACAGCACTTTTGTGTTACCTGTGCATTTGTCTTTCTATGTTTTGTCAGAAGTCAGGCTGTTCTTGGTATTTCCTAATAGTACCTAGCACAGTGTCTTGCCCTTGACAGGAAAGTTCTTGATAAATAGTTGTTGACCAGATAAATGTATAACTGGAAGGGTGAATGAGAGAGTGAGTCATAAGCAGTTTTCCTGAATGTTAACCTGACATTGAATTACTCCCTTACCATTATCAGGTATTTTCTCTCTTCAGAATCAGTTTTTTTGTGCCTTAATCATCTAATTTCTCCTAAATTCTAGATATCCACACTGTTTCTGAGTAAAGTAATCACAGCTCATTGGTTCATCATTTCAGAGGGGGCAGTTACACTGGGCAGCTGGTCCTGCCTCGTGTTCATGGAAGTGAAGGCTCAGCCCCTCGTCCACCGAGGTTCCAGAGCAGTGTCTGTGGCTTCTGTCTTTTTCCACATAGTATCCTCCCAAACACCTTTGATGGGATTTATAATTCTTTTTTAAAATATATTTTATTAATTATGCCATTACAGTTGTTCTATTTCCCCCTTTCATTCCCCTCCACCCTGCACACCCCCTCCCCCACCATTCCCCCTTTAGTTTATGACCATGTGTCACAAGTCCTTTAGATTCTATATTTCCCATACTATTCTTACCCTCCCCCCCATCTATTTTCTACCTACCATCTATGCTACTTATTCTCTGTACCTTCTCCCCCTTCTCCTTCTCCCACTCCCCTGTTGCTAACCCTCCATGTGATCTTTATTTCTATGGTTCTGCTCCTGATTTAGCTGTCGTCTTAGTTTGCTTTTGTTTTAGGTGTGGTTGTTAATAACTGTGAGTTTGCTGTCCTTTCACTGTTCATCTTTTTTATCTTCTTTTTCTTAGGTAAGTCCCTTTAACATTTCATATAATAAGGGCTTGGTGATGATGAACTCCTTGAATTTGATCTTATCTGAGAAGCACTTTATCAGTCCTTCCATTCTAAATGAAAGCTTTGCTAGATAGATCAGTCTTGGATGTAGATCTTTGGATTTCATGACTTGGAATACTTCTTTCCAGCCCCTTCTTGCCTGTAAGGTCTCTTTTGAGAAATCCACTGACAGTGATGGGAACTCCTTTGTAGGTGACTGTCCCCTTAGCTCTTGCTGCTTCTAGGATTCGCTCCTTCATTTTAATCTTGGCTAATGTAATTATGATGTGCCTTGGTATGTTGCTTCTTGGGTCCAACTTCTTTGGGACTCTCTGAGCTTCCTGGATTTCATGGAAATCTATTTCCTTTGCCAGACTGGGGAAGTTCTCCTTTATTATTTGTTCAAATAAGTTTTCCACTGGTGGCTGTTCCTCTTCCTCTTCTGGTACCCCTATAATTCTGATGTTGGAACGTTTAAAGATGTCCTGGAGGTTCCTAAGACTCTCCTCATTTTTTTGAATTCTTGTTTCTTCATCCTTTTCTGTTTGGTCATTTTTTTCCTCCTTCTGGTCCACTCCCTTGATTTGAGTCCCAGTTTCCTTTCCATTACTATTGGTTTCCTGTGCATTTCCCTTCATTTCAATTAGTTTAGCCTTCATATGTTCCTCTAATTTGTGACTAAAATCAACCAGTTCTGTGAGCATTCTGATCACCAGTGTTTTGAACCGTGCCCCTGAAAGTTTGGCTATTTCTTGGTTGCTTAGAGTTATTGGCTCTGGGGCTTTGAGCTGTTCTTCTTGAGCCATAATGTTTTGTTTTGTTCGCACCTGTTATGTATGAGGAGCAGAACCTTAGGTATTCGCCAGGGCGGGGCCACCCAGGTCGCTGATTTGTGACAGTCTGTGGGGGCGGGGTCAGAGAGGAACAATGGTGGTCCCCTCTTCGCTGGGGCCTATGGGGTCTGTCTCAGTCTCACTGCACGCTCCTTCTCCAGTTATCTGTGCGTGAATGTGTGAGCGTGTTCAGCCCTCAGTGGATCTGCCTGCTGCTACTCCACACCTGGGATCCGCCCACTGCCTGCCCACCTGGGTTGCACTCCAGGCCTGGGTCATGTTCCAGTCGGTTTGGTGGATCTTTCCTGCCCGACCCCACTCTGCTGCTGGCTCTGCCCCTCTTACCAGTTTGGCTGAAGGGTTCGTTGTTGTCAGACTTCTGTATAGTTCAATATTCTGTGGTTTGGCTGTGTTTTTCTTGTTAAAACTTTGTTGTTTTTAACTTGGTTGTGAGTGAAGGGACAGTGCTTCCACCTATGCTTGCATCTTGGCGGAAGTCTGTTTTCCCCTCCTTCTACGGGACCCGTCCCGCACGTGCTCCCCGTCTTCCTGGCTCTGTCACTTGGGTCACCGCAGCCGAACTACTGTGTGTTGGTGGCCCATGTTCATTACTCAGTTTTAAGCTGAGTAAAATGAAGACATTCCCCATACCCTTCTGCCCTCTCTAGAAGCCTCCTGCAGAGCCTGTTTGTTTCATCAGTTCCCCACAGCCGCAGCCCAGGGCACCCTTGTTGGCTCTTCTCATTGACTTTGTGCTGGTTCGTTGTTTCTGTTGTGTTCGCTCTGCCTTATTGTCCCCTAGTTCTCCAGCCGTCCAGAACCGTTCATTCCTCATTATGCAAATAAAATGCCCCTTGCTATCATTTCCCAGCTCCCACCTGCCTGTGGGAAGTCTGACCCTGCTGGTATTTATGCAGATGCTCAGAGCTCGTTGATCTGCCTGGCGGTGGCTTGCCCAGCACCTTCCATTCATGTCCTAGTCCAGTTCTCAACAACCCCAGTCTCCTACCAGCCTGCCACACCCCCGGGCTTCCTTTGCCCCCACACAGCCTCCTTGCAGCCCCTGAGGCTCACGGCAGCTCTGCCCCTGCCCCGGGCCTTCAGGATGGTCCTTCCACTCTGGAAGCAGACAGACTCTGGCTTCCAGGCAGCGAGGACCTTCCCTTTCAGAACTGTGATGGATCGATCTTGCTGGATTGATCTTGCTTCCTAAACAAAAGAACAGATTCCCCCTGAGAGGATTCTGAATATGAAATGGTTACAGCCAGCAGGGTGTTTTCTTAATGTCATATTTTCCTTCCTGATCCATTCCCTTTGGGTATTTTTTGGCGCTCAGATGCACAGATGGGAGTGGACCTGCTCTGCAGTGATATGAGCGATGAAGGAAATTGCTGTTGTCATGCATTTGGAAATACTACCTGTATTTTCTATCCTTTGAAAAGAGTAAGGACTGGGCATGTAGATTACTAGATTTTGATTTTTCTGACCAGATTCTTGTGTGCTGGGATCTGGAAAAATGTAGCTCCAGAAGGATTTTTGTTTATGTAAAGCCAGAGAAGCAGCTGGCAGTTCCTGGAGGGCAGGAGCTGCAGGCAGCGGTCACGCCCTTGGCCCTGGGTCTGTCTGAGGCTCCAGCTCATCATCTAGAGGCATCTGAAGGGGAGGAAGGAGGCGGGGGCCAGAGGAACAATTTCTGGGCCCCACAGGAGGCCCTGGAATATTCCAGACCTTGACCCTCAAGGATTCCAGCAAATACCCTGGGCACCTGGCCCTCTGCAGGGTCCTTCCAGGTATTAATTTCCACCTTGCTGTCTGCCAGAGCTTCCTGCTGGCCCTTGTTTGCCTGCCCCCCCCCCCCCCCCGCTCCTGCCCTTGGTTTGTGGATCAGGTCACTGACATGTGCCCCTCCTGTGTTGTATCCAGGGACAGGGTGCCTTATCAGAGAGACTCCGGAGCTTCAGCATGCAGGACCTCACCACCATTAGGGGAGATGGCGCCCCTGCTCCCTCAGGCCCTCCACCACCCGGGTCTGGGCGGGCCGGTGGCAAGCATGGCCAGCCTAAGATGTCCCGGAGTGCTTCTGAAAGCGCTGGCAGCTCAGGTAGGTGACACTTCCTCCCTGTTCCACCTTGCAGGCCGCACTTTCACTGAGGGGCCCAGTCCACTGCGTGGCCTGTACCTGGGCCCCTGCCCCACGGACTTGCCACCAGCGCGGTCATGCATCAGACCGTGGCAGGCCAGCCAAGGCGCAGCACCACTCAGGCCAGGACAGGAAGCTGGCCTGTGGACACCGACTGGGGGCAAGTTTAGGTCACCTGCACTGAAGGGTCCCGCCTCCTTATCTGATTGTCTGGGGGCTGGGGTGGTGGGGTCACAGCACCTGGACCCAAACTGGAGACGTCAGGCACAGCTGGACTGGGCCAGGCAGCTTCTCTGTTCTCTTCCTCTCTGACCCCTCACTCCTGGGGGCCTTACCTGTCTGAGCACCTGAGCGGCCCCTCCCACCTGCCCAGGACTCACGGCTGCCTGGTTTCTTTTCCCTGCGTGGTTGTTTCCTGTGCCTCTCTCTCACGCAACCCTGTCCTCCCATTTCCCATCCCCCTTTCGTCAAGCACAGCTCTGCCACCACATGCCCAGGGGGATGGAGGAGGCGGGGGCAGACACCAGCTCTGAGGTCCAATTCCTGTGGGGATTTTGCAGAAGGCCTATCTGCCTCTGGTTGTCAACTCCTGGCAAGGGGTCGCCTGTATTGGGATTGACCTGGGGACCTTGCAGAGTCCTGGGTCCATCTGCAGAGATTCATTAGGTCTGGCTAAGACCCAGATGTGTGATGCCATCAAGGGGCAGCCGTGCTTGGGACCCACCGACCTCTGATCCACCAGTGGGTTTCAGGCGTGAAGCGGTGCGGGCATAGGGTAGGAGGCAGGGAGCTGGGCTGGGACTCACGGTGTCCCAGGCCTTTCCTTGGGGAGATACAGGGACCTTGGCCCTCAGGAGCTGAGCGCTGCTGCCACCTGCAGAGGGCAGATGGTGAAGGGGGTGCGGGAGACAGTTCTAGAATTGAGCCTCAGGGTAGGAATTGGGCCACTTTTCTGGAATCTGCACCCGTGATGTGTGCCTGGTGTCTGCCCTGCCCTTCAGGGTACAAACAGGGACGTCAGACCACCTGGACCTTGACTGAGGGCTGCAGCCTGCAGGCAGCACCTTGTTCCGAGCCGGGGACCCTGCCTGACTTTCAGAGGTCTTAGACGCGGTTGGGGTAGAAGGAGCCCGATGGCCGGCCTGAGAATGACGACTCCTGGCCCCTCCAGGGAAGGTCGGGCCCCACAGGGCAGGCCTGGTGCCCGTCACTCTCCTCACCTCTGGGGGGTGACCCCTTTCCGCCCCAGGTCTGAAGACTGTGGCTTTTCTGTTGGAAAGGAGATGTGTGAACCCCGACAGGGCTGGGCAGGTGGGGGCTTGGCCACGGTGGGAGGTTATCTCCTGAGGAACCCCTCCCAGGAGAACATAGGACGGAATTCCCGCAGGCCGGGCAGGAAGGGCCCTCGGGGACCACTTAGCCTGACCCTCTGATTTTACCACCAAGGCCCAGGGGAGGGAACTGTCACCAGGGTCGCCCCTGGTGGTGGTCTCCTGAGGCCTCCCCACTGTCTGCTCACCCTCTGACCGTTTTCGAGCATCAGTGGCTTCTGACCCGCTGGGCTTGATCCCAGCTGTAGGGAGGTAAAAGGGGGTTAGGTACTGCCTCTGCCCTTGAGTGGCTCATTGGCTGCTGAGCCTCAAGTGCAGGCCATCGTCTGGGAGGAGAAAGGGCCCCAGTCTCCGAGGCCCAGAGGGCAGAGCAGAGGCAGTGGGGTGAGGTTCCAGGGGGAACCACTTACTGGCTGCGTGACCTGGGCAACGTGTTAGTGACTCAGACCTCAGCTTCCCTACCTGCCCTCGAGGAGTGAGGATCCCCTTTGGCAGGGTGGGTAGGAGGATTCAAATGAAATAATCCACGTGAGAGCGCTTAGGGCCGTTCCCAGCACTCTAGTAGCTGCTGTTATTGTTCTTGTTGAGTTGTTGTTTAACTTGCCTATTAGAGCAATTTACATGTGAACGTGTGCAGGAGAGAGATGGGCTGCCTTGTGAGGTAGTGAGATCCCTGTCGCTGGACAGGCCCAAAGCAAAGTTGAATGATCTGGCACCAAGGCTCTAGGAAGGGATTCCCGATTTGGCTAAGAAGTGGGCCTGGGTGGTCCCCCAGTCCCTTTCCCTCTTAGATTCTGTGCTGTCACTACAGAGGGGAGCTGAGTAGTGGCAGAAGGCTCCAGGGGCCTCGCACCGGGCCAGGCCACAGAGGGCCTCACCATGCTGGGTTATTCAGGGCAGCCTCCAAGGCGAGGGAAGGTGAGAAGTCTGGTGGGAGCTACATGGTGATGGGAGCTGTCCCCTGGGCTTTCAACATCTCCCCAGGCCAGCACTAGGCAGAACAGAGTTTGCGTGGTGTTGGTGCTGCCACCTCACCAGCAGCAGCCCCTCTGGCTCACCCAAGGGGGTGGTGGGGCAGCACAGGTTGCAGGCCAAGTGGGCGGCACTCGGTGGAGAACTGAGAACCCCTGGCGCTGCCGCAGGACCCAGCTCCCCTCATGGCTCTCCCGCCCTGGCCTCGGCCCTGGCCTGCCCCCTCGGTTTCAGGGGGCAGAGAATGGAGGTGCTGACCCAGCAGGGAGGATGAAGGCCATGTGGCCTTCCTTCCAGCTGTTCTGGGACCTAAAGTAAAAACTATCTGAGAAAGAAAAACAGGTGGAAGATGGCCCAAGGCCTGAGCATGTGGCAAAAGCACCCAGATCTGGGGCTCTCATAACCCCTCAGTTGAGGGGTGGGGTGTCTGGGAGGAAGTCTGGCAAAGAAGGCCCCACCACACAGGGCTGGCATGTCTTCCCAGCCCTCACTGTGGGCCTCGGACGCCAGGCATGGTCGGGTAGGAGAAGGGGCCCTGGGTCTGGGCTTTCATTCTGTCTGGGTGACACTGGACCTGTGCAGGGACAGCACATGCAATATAGTGGGGCAGCTGTCACTCAGGCACCACTATTTTTCCCACTGGGCCTGGATTGAGCCTCAGAACCTTTCTCAGAATGATGGCCCGGGGAGTCACTACCAGGTGTTTGACCTTGGCACAGAGATGAGCCCAGTCCCCTGTCGCTTTCTCCTCTGAAAAAAGGGCACAATTATCCCTATTCAGCCCGAGTTGTAGGGTTGTAAGGAGAGCAAACAGTTTGCACAGCCTGGACAGGCAGCAGGAGTTAGGCAGCCTGGGAGAAGACGGGAGAGGTGGCGGCTGCGCCCCTGCAGCCGCTGGACGCAGCAGCAGATCTTGAAAACATGATGCCCAGTGAAAAAAGCACAAAACCAGTGCGATATTATGTAACAAGTTATATAAAATAAAAATACAAACCCCATTGTCCAAATAACAGCAAGGAGTTTGCAAGAACACATTGCCCTCCTTACAGAATGAAATACAAAATGTTTCATCACACCCCATGTGTTGAAAGATACTGGGCCCTGGGAAGGGCACAAAGGAGCTGAAGGGATGGCCTTGCCCTCCACGGACTTGGAGCCACCCAGCGTGTGTTTACTGTGCACCCACTTGGGCCTGGGTGCACGCCGACACCAACGGCGTGTGCAGAGCAGCAGGGTAGGCATTCAACCAAATGGCCAGACACTAAGAACTTTTGGGGTCAGAGGTCAGTCTGTGGGTCCTAGAGGGCAGTCTGTATTGGAAGGTATAGAGAGGAGGGGCAGCTATCTGGGCTGGGGTGGTTGGAGTTATCTCCCAGAGGGAATTTTGACCCCAGACGCTGCCCTCCCGGGGCTGCATGATCCGAGAAGTAATTTCTGTGCCAGGCAAGGGCCCCCCTGTTTGCCTGGGCTGGTTCCTGTCAAGAGGGGGGCTATCACTGATGATGCCCGCATCCCCACAGTGTGTACCTGCTGCTCCACCTGCAGGACCAGGAAAGGTGAGTAAACCGCTGGTCTCCGCAGCACGCTGGACTCACCTCTGGAGGAGGCTCTAACCATGAGCTGGCATCTGACCTTGGGGCTCCCTTTCAGCAGCATGGTCTGGGAGGGGAGAGGTTAGGAAGTTAACTTCTTAAAATAGCAAATGTACTACCTTACAGGGTCTTCAGGCTAGAACTTTGGGGGCAGCTTAACTGGGTGCTGCTGGCTCAGGGTGGTCATGGTGCTGGCCAGGGCTGCAGCCGTCTGAAGGCCAGACTGAGGCCAGAGGACCCACTTCCGAGATGGCTCTCTCGTGGCTGCTGGCTGGAGGCCTCAGTTCCTTACCACGTGGGCCTGTCTAGTGTCCTTAAACATGGCAGCTACCGTCACCCACAGTGACTGGAGAGAGAGAGGATGAATACGAGTGCAGAAGTCACAGGAGCTGGCAGGACCCAGTCAGGATGCTGCACCCCATTCTGTTTGCTGGAAACAAGTCACCGAGTTCGACCCACACTCACGGGGAGGGAAATTAATCTTCACTTCTTAAAGGGAGAAGTGTCAAAGAATGCGTGGGGTTTTCCCTGTGCTCTGGGGTGGGGACACAGGGACTCACCCCAGGCCTCTGACGTGCAAAGCCCCGCAGCCCCAGGGGTGTTGGTCCTGCTGCCCCCAAGGGAGCCCTGGTTCTGCTTTGCCACTTACTACCTGTGTCCCCATGTGTGAGTCGCCTAACCACTCAGAGCCTCGGTTTCCTCATCTTGAAATAGAGATTAAGATCCCCGCTTTCCGCCTGCTGGTGCTGTCGGGAAAATGGCTGTGAAGGGGTGTTTGGAAGGAGGAAGTGGTGACTAACCCAGAGCAGCCGGGGGACCTCGGGGAGAGGCGACAAACCTGGGCCCTCCTGGTCCTGCGTGGGGCGCCTGCCACTGCCCTCCTGGGTGTGAGCGACAGTGTGGAGGGCCATGGCCACCCCCTCTCTCCAGCCTTGCTCCTGCTGTTTTCTTAACCTTGACTAGACACTTGAGGGGCCCACACTAGAGCTGATCCAACCCAGCTCCCCCTTCACCCCTCTGCGGAGCCCCCTGGCCTGCAGCTGTCCCCTGGGGCGAGGGCAGGGTGGGTGGGGGAGGCACATATAGGGCCAGGTACTGCAGGGTGGTGGGGGGTGGGGGTGGGCAGGGACAGTCCCAGTGCTGCTGATGCAGGGTGTCCCTCCTACACTGTGGCAAGCAGGAGGACCTGAAGCTGTGTTATAGGAACAGGGCTGTTTTCTCTCATTTTTAAGCCTTCTCAATGTCAAGAACTTTTAAGGCCTATGGAGGACTTGGGGCTTGGGAGGCCATAAGCCCATTGTGAGCTGACAGAGGCCTTGTGACCTGGGGACAGAGGAGACAGACCAGCCTGCTCCCCTGGCTATGACTGTGACTGGCCACGTGTCCCTTGGGGGCCTCCCGGTGCACAGCAGATGCGGGAGGGATATATATGTAGTTGTTAAATTGTCCACTGAAAACTGATACGATTACTTGCAGATTATATCTCAGTGGGGCGGGGAGGGTCTGCAGGCAGCAGCTTCCAGCACCTCCGGGCCAGTCTCGGGCCTGCTGGAGGTGCTGATGACCACCCAGTGCCATGGCCTCAGGCAGCTGTGGTTATTTCTGTCAATTCACCCTTTAAAGTTTTGAGTTTATAAATTCTGTGAGCTGTTCAGAAAGCCTCTAATTCTGACACATTGTTATTTGGGAGATCAGGGATAGTCAAGCTGCCTTCTTTGTTTTTCCTCGTGGGTCTGCTCTGAGATGCGCCCTGGGAAGTCCTGACCTCCTGTGACCCCGGCTGGGTTCCTAATCTGAGGCTGCCCTTCCAGTGTGCGAACAGAGCGAGCACCGATTGTAGGAATTTACAGTTTACCATCCAAGGGAGCTGTGGGATCTCCCACTGGGCAGTGGGTGGGGCTCAGGAAGCCCCGGCTGGGAGGGCCCTGCTGATTGGGGGTGGGGTGGTGGTCTGGGAGCCTCGGCCCTGCTCTCCCTTTTTCAGGGCCTCTCTGCACTCAGTGCCCTGGAGGTCTTCTCACTCCCTGAAGTGTGCTTGTAAGGAACCACCTGATGACTCCTCTGCCCCACTTCCTCTGTGACCGCAGGGGAAATCCCTCCACACCGCCTCAGCCCCTCCTCTCTGATGCTGTGCGGCTGGGCTCACGCCCCTTGGCCCTCACAGTGCTGGCTACCTCTGCGGTGCAGGGTACTGGGCATGAAGTGTCAGCAGATAGCGTTAGGGGAGGTTTGTTTTGCGACGAGCTGGAGGCCAGCTCTCCAGCAGGGAATGTCCTGAGAGAGGATTTCAGGGGTCACGGTACATTGGTCAGAGGGCCCTCCCGGTCACCAGAACTGCTCTTCCTCTGCATCTCAGGGTACAGAACACTTTCTCCCCACTTCTCCACTTCACCCCTCCGTCAGCCGATTCCCTGTTCCCTGCATCTGCCTCTTTCTCCCTGTTTCTGGTCTCCCCTCCTGTCCCTGCCTTCCTTCCCTGCCTTCCTTCCTCTCTACCTGCCTTGATGTAACACAGAGCCAAAAACTCTGTAGTGCTGCTTGAAATGAGTCATAGAGATGGACTCCCCCCCCCCTTTTTTTTTTTTTTTTTTTTTAATCAAGTGTGTGGAACACCATTTCGAAGGGCAGAGTCGTCCCTATTTACCCTCCACTGGGAGCTGCGAGGAGGTGCTCCACTAAGCGAGCGTGGCCGGTCTGCTCCCTCTGAGGGCAGGAGGAGCTGTCCACGGTCCAGTGCTGGGGCAGGGAGTGTGTGCGTGCACGTAGGTGTGTGAGTTTCATCTCCAGAGTTCCTGTCCTAACAGCATATTCCTTTCTTTCTCCCCGGTGGCCACTGGACATGGACGTAAGTTCCAGACCGGCATGTTCTCCCCACACGTTTGCTGGCTCCCTCTAACGCCCCACTCACGTGTGCTGTGTGGGGTGTTTGCTAACCTTGGGCATGTTCTGCTGCCCGCCGGGGTGGGGTGCCCAGGGCTCTGTGCCTAGGGACCTGCCGGGTCTGTAAGGGCTGGAGTCTCCGCCGCGGCCTCCCTCCCTGCCTCCTCCACGGAGAGAAGAGGCGGAGCTGCTTCCCAGCCTGCTGCAGTCCTGCTGGCGAGTTTGCCGCCGCAAGTGTCAGCCCAGGCCACGCACTCACACCGCTGCTGTGGGGAACAAGGGGGACCCTGTCCTTCCCTGGAGGCTCCAGCCTCGGGCTCTGTGAAGGCAGCTCTGCAGGCTCAAAGCCCTGACTGCCATCCAGCTGAGATCTGGAGGCGGTGGCCATGGCCATGACCCTCCACAGGAGACTCCTCCCGCATCAGTTGTCTCCCAGAGCCATCAGAGTACGAAGATGGGGCAGCAGCACCCTGCTCAGCCGCTCACCCTCATCTTAGGGGGTGGCCCGGGCGGTCCCCTCCTAGTGGGACCGTGTTCTGTGAGGTTTATTTCTTTGCTTGTAGTATTCCCCGTTCCAAAGAGAACATGTTTCCTTGCAGAAATGTAGATGAGAGATCAAACCACAGTAAGAAAAATGAAGCTTGGAGGAAAGGAACTAGGCAGGTGGGATGGAGGCAGAGGTGAGGAGAAAAATTTAAAGGCGTGCGGTAAAGTTGTGGCCAGGCAACGAGGCTGGTGTCCTGGTGGCCAGTGCAAAGAGGAAAACGCGGTGAAGAGTTTCGGTGTCACAGCACAGTTCCCACCCAGAGGCTCTGAGGCCCAGCTCGTTCAGAGTGTTTATTCTCCCAGGTCCTGAGAGTACAGCAGAGTATTGCAAACAACATTCTTGGCAGAAATGCTCTGTGAACACAGGGATCAGCAGGGTTCTTCTCTTTTTGGTAGGTTCTCTTTGTTGCTTCCATTTGAAGCTTCTTCTGGCCCCCAAGCCGCCCATGCTAGTCTCCTGTGCTCCCTTCCTCTGCTGAGCTGAGCACTTGTTTTCTGTTCCTGCCCAGACATCTGGGCTCCCCTTGACCCATCGGTCCCAGTGGGCCAGGAGGTTACTTTTCTACCCTGCAGATTGTGCTCCAGTGCTCAGTGGAGAACAAACTCAAAGCCATTTCCATTTCAGTCCTGAGGCAGCGATGCTGGTGGTAGTTGTTATTGTTATTATTGTAACCTGGGAGTTCACTGCTCAGGCGCAGTGGTCCCAGACAGCCTGGTGGGTAGGCCTAATTGCTGGGTGCCTGAGGATCTTGCGGCTACTCTGGACTGCCTTCTGAGTGGTCAGTACCGGGCAAGCCCTGGGCCTGGACTTAGAGGCACAGACTCAACCAGTGCCCGGGCCTGGTGCCAGGCTGCAGGGGTCTGGCTGGGCTGGAGCTGGCCAGGCAGCTCCTATAGTTTCTGTTCTTGTCTGAGGGCTTTTGTCTTTTTTCCCTCTTTCGGGCAGGAGATATCTGTGCCCAGAAGGAATTTCCTTGTGGGTGGATATCAGGTTCCGGTTTGGGGCAAGAGCGGAGCTCCCTGAGATGATGTCAGTGCTCCACCTGGTTCAGTGGCTGGGCGGCCACTGTGTGCTCAGCGCATAGAGGAACCAAGGGAGGATCTGCCGTGGTTCCCAAGCTCAGGGCGCTTTCTGTTGGGCTGAGGCAGCAAGACCGGCATGGGAACCAGGGCACACAGCCCAAGCCCTGTGGTCAGGATTCCAAGTGCTGCCAGGGAGAGGGAGTGGGGAGCTAGGGAGGGTCCCTGGAGTTGCAAGGCTTCGTGTTCAGCACTCTGAAGGGCGTAGATGATTTGGGCAAGAGAAGGGATCAGAGGATAATCTAAAGCAAGAGTAAGCATGCGGGGGGGCACACAGAGAAAAAATATATATATATAAAAGGAAGGTTAATGATCTCAGGCTTGGGCTGTTGTCTGAGCACGTCACTCTGAGCCTACAATTCAGCGTTAAAAATTTGTGGTTAAGACAACTGTGCTCCTGTGCTGCCACCTGTTGGCTGTTGGGAAGAACAGTAGTAACTGGGGAAACTGCTCAAGATGAAGGTTCAGTTGTTAATTTTACTTAACTGGCACCTGGTGCTTTTATAGTCTAGCGAATCCCCTTTTGATAGAGAGAACACATTTGGTGGCTGCATATGTTCTTAGGAGCAGTAGTAGTCTGCCCCAGAAAGAGCTCTGGTCTCTATCTGCAGGCCTCAGGGCAATTGGATCAGTCGATCAGAAAGCCTCCTGGCTCTGCATTCTGTGATTCTAGGTAAAAACAATATATAAAGTACAGGAAGATATATCTATGGATGTCAGATAGGCTGGCTATGGGCAGAAAATATTTTATAGCTCAGTTAAGATAGGATTGTCTGGCCAGCTGGCATGGGATATACTCAGCATTGAACACTTCAAAAAATGTGCATTCAATGATGTGAATTATTTCTGGAGCTTTGCCTGCGGATTGGTCAAGGCAGATTAAAACAGGAATCTTGTTGTCATTGTTGAAGCAAGCTACTCCTAGATTCTCCTCCCACATTCTCCTCCCACCAGGCTCCTTTGCTTCTGTAGCTCTTGGCCTTTGAAATGAAAAATCTACGTAGCTTTTTTAAGGTTCTCTGTGAGGCTTCCTGGCATTTTACATGCTGTCTCTTAAAGAATGTTAGGAGCTGAATATGCGAGTGTAATGCACTGTCAACATTGCCGGTTTGTATCATAGAAAACGGTGCTATTTCCCTCCTAAAATTACTGCCAGTCTTTTCAGAGAAGACCCCCCTCCCCCCAGCACCTCCTGGTGCAGTGTCACAGGTCTAAGCTGCAAGGCTTGACCTGCCTCAGTTAAGAAGCAGCTTTCTTGTCCCAGGGAAGCGGTGCCCCGTCCTTGGGGGTGGAATCAGCAGATTCCGAGGCCTGAGCTTGTTGCTGTGCACAGTGTGGTCAGCCTCACTGCTGCGCCCTCACAGTCCTGGATCCCCACGGAGGGTCCCCGGAGGATGCTGGCTGCGTTTTCAGACAGAGGGGCCTTGGTTGTCCTAACAGACCTGACTTTTTGTGCTGTGTGCCTAACCTCGCCCTTGCCTGCCCTCCGTGCACCACTCTACGCGGTACTGTGTCTCTCACTGTGCTTTGTCTCTTCTGTATAGATTGTAAATGGACATTAAGTGGTTGAGGGAGATGTGAATGAGGGTGGTGTGAAGGCATGGGAGCCCCACCGGGTCCAAAACCCGTTGGCCTTTTCTGATGATGAGGAGGAAGACCTGCTGGATTTCATGTACAAGTATAAGGCAACTCGAAAGACGGAGTTCCCCCTGGAGGTACACGGTGTTTGGGGCTGCGGGCTCTGTGTGTTTGTACAAGTGCTTCACCCTGGAGATCTGGGGGTCCTAGAAGCTGTACCTCTTGGGGCACCCGGCATTGCCCGAGTGCCAGGGGTAGGAAGCTCGTCCTCCATCACACACGCAGGACAGGCCACTAGGCAGCATCCAGTTACTTGCTAAAGGGGGTAGGGAATGATGGGCAGGGTTGGTGGGGGACATGGGGAAAAACTCAGAGTGTATTCTTCGGCAAGGCTTTAGAAACCTATTAACTTGTTTATCACTATCTCCAAGACACAGCATAGTGCCTGGCACAAAGTAGGTATTCACAAAATGTTATTAAAGGGACATAGCCCTTTAAAGTGACCAAGAACAGTACGCTTGATACATGTACCGTTGCCAATCATAGAGGGAGTTGGAGTTTTGCAGTAGGAGGGCCACACCCAGAGCCTCACGGGCCTTGCTCTGTGATGTGGGTGGGGTCACCAGCCATGGGCTCAGGTGCAGGGCTGACAGAATTGGGGGACTCGAGTCTTGCTCTGCCCCCTCACGTTGCCTCTCCTGTTCCCTATCTGCTGAATACAGAGGCCTGAAAATCCCCCTGAGGCAGGCTGGGAGTCCCCTGTCCCCAGAGGAGAGTCTCCATGAGGCCCAGATGAGGAAGTGCATGGGCAGTTTCCCCTACACGAACCCAGGGGCTCGTCGTCCAGATTCCCGCTAGGACCAGAGCCGTTAGCCCACAGCGTGCAGGAGTTGTCAGGTTCCTTTCTGAGGTGGGGCACTCGTGGGTCAGTTTTGAAGTTAGAGGTTCTGGTAAGAGATGTTCTGGGTTTTGACACTGCTCCAGGAGTCCTATGGCCCAGGCAGCCCTGCCTTGGAGAGGGCTAGTAGGGAAGGTGCCCAGATCCTTCTAGGGCCTGTGGGTTTGTATCGTTTGGGTTTTGTTTTTTTAAAGCTGCACAGCCTGAGGCAGATTACTAAACCCTGGGCCCATTGATTTTATTACCCTCTGATGTAAAAGTGTCGTGGTCCCCTGGCCCCACATGTGCTGCTGGGGACTGAGCAGCACTAGATGGCGGCGAAGGTGGACCTGCCCTCAGGAAGCGCAAACGGGCAGGGGAAACCCCTGAGCGACACACCTGCCGAGGGTACAGTCCTCCTTCCTCCTCCAGTGTGCAGGCCAATCTGAGAACAAAGGAGGGGACAGTCCTGGTTCTGGGTGACTGGGCCGTGGGTGGAGGGGCTCAGGAGTGACTTTTGAGCCAGGTCATACAAAGTTCTAGAAATAGCCAGACAGGAAAGGTAGGAAGGGCTTCTGGTCAGAAAGCACAGAGGTGTGAAAGGCCAGCATGTGTAGACAAAGGCGTTGAGTACAGAGCAGGAGACAGACAGGTTGAAGGGCGGTGGGGGCCCGTGTGGGAACCCTCTCGAGTGGTCATCTAGGAGAAAAACTCTACGTTCAAGAACAATGGTTTGCTTTGTTGTGCTGTTTGTTGTGAATTAAAGGACTTTGCATCCAGAAAGAGGACTGGACATTTGGTGACGGAAATTTTAAGCACATACCAAGAAACCTGAGGCTGGTTCCCAAAGGAAATAACAAAGGCAAGAGATGAGGTGGGGAGGCATTTGGCTCTGCTGAGTCACTTGTTAAGATCATGTTGCTCCCAAGGCAGAAGTAAGAAAGATGTGCCATCCTTCTGCACAACTGTTCACTTGGGAGAGGCAGGGACTTAGAGAGCGTGAAGAGGGAGGTGCTGGCCTTTGCAATTGGCCCAGCCTCCCTGGGATGCTTGAAAAGTGACTCTGACTCTGTTGGGGAAACTCAGAGTGCGGCCCCAACCCGGGGATTTGACCAGAAGAACTAGGTATCTCAACACAAACCCATCCAGATACTGTCCTCAAAACAGTCCACGTTTATGTCAAACTGAGGGATGTCTTTTTGTTTTCTCTGCCAGGCACCGCCTAGAATCCTTCGATCTCGCTTCAGGAAAAGTACCTCATCCTCAGCCACTGAAACCACGTGAATGAGATGAGCCAACAGCACCAGATACACAGAATGTTTTTTCTCTGCCTTAAAGAGCTATCACTTACTAAAAACATAGACATCTGCCAGCTGGTGTGCTTAGAGTGTGCAGCCTCAGTCACGGCCTTTTCTCTCCCCTCTTCCACTTTTAGGATTGCTGTTTTTTCCTTTTCTTTATTTTGCTGGGGAGAGGCTAAAGGGAAGGTAGTGTGTGTGTAGGGTGTGACCCTTCAGTCTTCTGAGGTTATTTTCCACAATTGGATTGCCATTAGACAGCAATGTTTTTAGAATATAGAAGAATTACCTGCCCTCCCCCCGCCGAGATGTACATTTGTAATTTATTTGTTGCATACTTCATTTTTAGTCCTGTAAATGCAAACAAAGCAATTTTTTAGAACTTTTTTTGTTCTTTTTGGGGGGTACTAATACTTTGGACTACAGTGTACATATTTATTATGGCTTTTGGCTTCATTTAATAGACTTGCAAGGGCTGCCAGAGGTTCTGATAATGTAGCAAAAACAGAAGCGTAAAAAGTGTTTTTGGTTCTAGAGAATGTCTTCAATTGTGCTTATTAGGAAGCTTCCCAATACAGCTCCGGTGCAGTGTCCTTTTCCCTGCAGGACCACGGTCCGTGTCCTTCAGACGGTCCTTTAGTCAGTGTGCCAGAGAGGTGCAGACCAGAGAGAGTGCGTGCTCAGTGACGGAGACGGGCGTGACGAGGCCAGGGACACAGTCCAGAGGAAGAAAAGAGTCACAGGAAGCTTGTCTTCCCCTTGAACTCTGGTAGAGGGGCTTCTGAATCCTTTCGGGAGGGTTACCATTTGCCTCTGGCAGGTGGCTCACCCTTGGTAAAACCTTCTGGGGATGTGGACAGAGCTGTTTGTGAGGAGCCATTTAAATGTTTCAAAAGTTCTTGACCAACGACTATTTCTCCTTCATAGTGACTGTGCTGTAACTCATCTCCCCAGGCAGAGGGGTTTACAATCTGAGCACCTCCTTCTAAAGAACACTAAGCAAAAACCAGCCAATCAAACAAACCAAGACAAAACCTAGAACTACGCTCTCAGATATGCTCTAAAATACATCTGCCACCTGTGTAATATCAAAAGGCTGGGCTCTGGAAGGTTTTAGAGGTTGAGCTCTTCACGGATATCACTTGCTGCTCAGCTCCTGGGGCAGCTGTGGCTCCAACTCCTGTTCTTTTTCTTCCTCGTGCAGAAAGGGAACAGGAGGGAAGTCGCATGCTCGTGGACACTCCAGGTCTTAATGGGCATTTCATACAAGCCCAGATCGCTTAGTAGGAGAATGAAGCACTATCCACCTAGACTGAGAATTTCGTTAGAAGACAATTTGGATTAAATAGCATTTTGGATGGAGGTGGCTGCTCTCCCCCTGGGGCACTGAGCCTAGATGTAGGACTGTACATTTGTGCTTAGAGTTGGGTGTTTCTTTCAGTGTAATGCATGCAGTGGTTACAACCCAGTTATTAACAAAACTTGGACTGTGTTTGTTCATAGATGTGCCCTGAAGATTAGAGAATTAGTGTCACGTACCACACGGAACTCAGTCAACCAGTTGTAAATAGGCCCAGCTGAAGGCCGTTCCCGTCATTACTGAGCCACATGATGGCACATCAGTGGTCTTTGCTGACAGCACATCGGCTGGATCTCAGCCACCTCAGAAAGGGTTCTACTTGAAGTTGTTACCAGATATGCTATTTCCATCCCTTCTTCCCATAATTACTCTGAAGGTGGCTTTGTAATTTACAAAAGGATTTAGGACAATAAACCTAAAAGCAAACTTGTGATTCAGAGGACAAATAGAAGCTGTCTACTTGCTGTCTGCGCCTCACACCCACTAATACTTGAACCTATTTAGGGAAAACAAAAATCTTTTCTTTAAGCTTACCGAATAGTTTCAGACAGAGGAAAAATACACGCTTTTGTACTTATCTGTTAGTTGGGAGTACCCAGGATTATCAGAAACAAGTACATAAGAAGCTTGTAATTTAAGCAGCTTTATAGCACCTTTTTTTGCCAAAATAATAAATGCCTGTAGCTGTTACAGATTAAAATTCTATTGTGTACAAGCTATATTTTCACTACTTCACAATGGAAAGTTTTAACAAGTACAGACTATCAAGTTTGCACTCAACTATGCCAAAAACAAGTTTGAAGCTCTCTACTCTCAGACACGCTGTATTACTTCTTGCTCAAGGTTCAGAAAACAAAGGTGTCCAAACTGCTGTCTTAATGTAAATGTAACTATTTTTCCTTCAAGTGTTAATTAGGGAGTCAGTTTCTCCCTTAAAAACACTCACTGTACAACTGAGAACAGCCGTCATGTTCCTGGGAAAACGTTGTTTACTTATCCAACATGCTGTTGTGTATGTGTATGGACTGACACCAAATGTGAATGCCTCAAAGTGTACACGCAGTGGTGTGGTGTTCTGTCTAAACTGTTTTAATTTGCTGACACACAGACTCAGGCTGCTTACAGAAGGTTAGCACGAAGTCTGTCCAGTCTCCCTGTAGTGACTTCCAGGTACCGGCCGCCGCACAGCGATCTGTCTCCAAGGGGAGGCCTGGTGCTGTGCTTGTGCACTGGAGAGTGTAGTCACCACCCCCACTGGCTTTGTGTGAGTAGCTTGCTCGCTTCGCTGGCCTCTGAAATGTGTTCCCTGCGGTAAACTGTCTGTTTGTGATAGCAGTGCTTGTCCACCACGACCGCCACCAAGCACCTGCCTAGTTCCTCACCTTGCAGTGTTTGAAACGGTAAAGGATGTGCTTCGTTCTCAAACAGCTGACATGCTGGACTGTGATGTGCGTATCTCCCCTAGTTTAGCTCTGTAGACCCCATAGAACCATCTGTAATAAAACAACATACTGGACTGTGCGTCAAGGGGTGTAAAATCATGATTCCAAAGGTTGAAGTTCTGCTGTTTTGTTATAATGCTTGATATATATCTTGAATAAAGTCTTAACATTTTTCTTTTAAAAAATGCCTTTGTAATGTTGGGCTTATGAGCAAAGAGAAAATACTTAAAGAAAAAATGTGGAAGGTCACCCTGGCCGGGTAGCTCAGCTGGTTAGAGCGCTGCCCTGATATGTGAAGGCTGCAGGTCGAATCTCTGGTCAGGGCACATACAAGACCCAATCAGTGAATACACAACTAAGTGGAACAACAAATCATTGTCTGTCTCTTCCTTGCTCCCTCTCACTCAAAAATCAATACATAAAAATGTTTAAAAAATGTAGAACATTGCAAGGATTATGAGCTGAATGCTCAGCCACCAATAGGTTTGGTGCCTGGTGACCTGGCCCCATACCTAATGTGCAGAATTGCCGCAAGGGAAAAAATTAAATGACATCAGTGTATTGAAAACCAGTTGATTACATACACAGTAATGTGGAAACTGGGTAGCTGTGAAAATTAAGGTAACAGTTTATCTGGAAGGCAGTTTCAATTCTGCAAGCGTACTGTTGGTCTGTCTTTTTTTTCTCTCTTGCAGCCTGTCTCCTGCAAGTTTGGGAAGTGTGCGGGTCAGAGGGGTGCGTGTGGAGGTGTGCTGGGGGGTGTGGACTCCCTTGACCCACTGCATCCCTTGCCTTTAAACCACAGGCCGGCGCACACAAACTTCACTGGGTGGTCACAGACTTGGACACTCAAAATTTGAAACAGCAAAATGAAACGCATTTCCTCTGCCTTTATAGTCTTATATTGTATGTGGTTGACACGAACACTAAGATAAAGCAGCAGCAGATGCAGAAGACTGAAAGATGGAGAGACGAAAAGGCTAAAAACCCATTTATTCATTTAATGAGCCAAGTCCAATGTCAACAGAACTGAGATTAACCAGGGTAGGAGGTGACAGTTATAAAATTTAACAGCCAACTTGGCAGAGTATCATGAAGTATTTAGTATTTGTAATGCTAGATTATAATGTTGATTTAGATATGAATTCCAAGGAGTTAGACCTAGGTTCTGATCGACTATTAGCTGTATTTTGGGTTAGTTAACCTTCTGTAAGCTTCAGTTTCCTCAAATTAGAACTAGGGATAGTGCATCTCCTCATAAGGCTGGTATGTGGATTAGCAGCTTTATAGATACATGCCTGTTCCTATGCTGGAGGGCACAGTACATTTCCAGTAAGTTACACTTTGACATACACTTGAATGTCATTTAGGTAGACCCGTTAATGAAAGATGTTTTATTGTCAAACTGTAAAATCAGCTTGATGATAAGCCCTGTTACCCTTTCCCCCTAAACTGCCTACCTGCCGGCCCTTCCCTGTCAGCCCATCTCTGGATGCCAAGGCCTGCCTGCCAGCCCTCATCTCTGCCTCCCTGTCCCAAGCCTAGCAGAGAAACTGGAGTGCTCTGAGGCCCCATGAGAGAGACCCTTGTCCACATTTGCATGCGAGAAGGCAAGGAGGTGGGGTGAGAAGGTGTTCCTCAGCTCCTTCAGGTTCCGGGTCCATCCCTCTGCCAGAGGCAGTTGGAGGCAGGAGCCCGGCAGGTGGGAAATGATGTGGCCATCTTGGCAGTGGTTGATTTCTGCCATCTCAGAAGTCTGAGGAAAGGAATCCCATCCGAACAGAATGCCATCCCGTGCCTCGGGTGCTCACTCAAATCAAATGTCTGTTCTTTATTAATTGATCCCATAAATAGACACATTTGGCCTTCTAGTTTTAGAGTATCATTACCCTTGTCCTTTTAATGGACACACACACTGATTTCAAAGAATTCTGGTTAGTCTTCCCCCTTATTCTATCAACAATAGAAGACCATCTTATCATCAACTATTATATTAAAGGATGTGAAGCAGTAATTGATGCATACTTCTATTTAATAATGGTTTTTCAACCAGGCAAAGTACTGTTGTTTGAATTCCAGATGATTTTGATGGGAGAGCTGAGAACCTGCCCATGACTATATCCACTCTGTCAACTCTACTTTCCTTAGTACCTCTTACCTGACCCTCTTTAAATGAATAATGCTAAATTCTTGCATCATTTCTAACATGATTGAGATGACTTATTCCCCCTTAGTATCTACAGTGTATCTCTGGAAAATTTTGGAAAAAGCTTATCTTCACAATTAAAAATATGAAATCTCAAGTAAATTAACTTTTTAAAAATGCAGCATCTTTCAATTCCTGGGTAAAAAGTTTTTATCTTCATTTATATAGCCACTTCTGTTTCATGAATGGGCATACTGATAGGCTATTTCACTTACACTCCTCTATAAAAATTCCTGTTCCCAGAAACTAAGTGAGGGTGTGTGAACAGAGTGAACCTAGTGTGCTATACGTGCACTGCCACCTCATGCTCACCTCCAAGGGAAACTGCCCACACGACTATCTTTTGTTCCACACGGATCTGCCAACACAACCAAGTGAGCCAGACTGGGCTCCTGACCCAAGAACAGCCAAACCCTATACTATTTGGTGACTTGAGATGAGACCTGGTGTTAAAAGATAAGCCGGCCAGTAAAGAAATAGGAGCTGAGGGTCACAATGTAGAAATGTACCTCAAAAGAGCAAGCTACAGTTATGACGAGGAAGCAGAAGTAACAGTAAGCAAAAACTGTGAATCAGACGAGTTGTAAGTAGAGAGAGAATGGAGCCTCTACAATTCAGAGAACTGAGTCACATGTATGGCTAGACTCCAAGCCTAAAGATCCACCATTTCCTGTTGCTGAGGTTCCTAGAGGTGCCTCGAGCCCAAAACCACCCTACGATTTGTGCTCCTGCAGCCTGGGAGTTGGTTCTGGGTGGAAGATGGAGGTGGTGTGGTGGTTCCTGAGTTTCCAGGCATGTATCCTTAAAAAAGAAGCCACACTGCTTAAAATAACTTACTAGCTTTAGAATCTTTTTATGTCTGTCCTAACTTTAGATTCCTTGTAACTAAGTAAGCCTAATTGGAACAACTAGTTAAGCCATTACCACTTGTTGAAAATAATCATTAATTTTAAACTTTTACTTCCCTGAACAAATCTGAGAATGTTTAATACATTAATTTTAAAACTGGTAAGTCTGATAACCGGTACTGTATGTTTCTATATCACTTGGTATAACGTACATCAAATTTTATATTTACTAATTTTTTAACTGAATTTATTGGCCATGACATCGGTTAATAAAATTAAATAGGTTTCAGGTTTACAATTCTACATCATCTGTATATTGTATTGTGTGTTTACCATCCCAAGTCAATTCTCTGCAAAGACATCATATAAACCAAGATAACTGGGAAAATCATAAAACTTCTGTTCTATACTTTCAGGTTTGTCCGATCATGATACTTCTGATAAGGATCATCAGCGTACCAGTTTCGCCTCTTCCAGAAAGATGTCGTCATTTTATCTAAGAGTTTACTCTGGGTTTTATTGCAGAACACAAATTCTCTCAGGCGTCTTTTTCTTGCAACCGTCTTCTTCCATAACTTTTTCTTATAACCAGCCTATTAGATAACATTACAAGGACATTTAAAATATTGTATTATATAGACAACAGCAGACAGCTTTACTACACATGGTTTATAGGCCCAATGGGAACAGACCAGACTTTCACACGGGCTTGTATATTTCAGAATGATGTGATTCTCAATGGGGCTGAACAGAGAAAGGATGTCTAGTTTTAAGAAGAAATATTAATAATTTAATATTTGGGAAAAGTGTAAACTAAAGCCACAGAAAATAAAGCTAAATAAATCTTTGTGGCTGATGAAGTACAGGGTAATGATATACAGGAGCTTTACTATATATGCCTTACCTTATTATCTCTTTAATAATCTTCAATAACATACTATTCTCGTTTCATATATTAAAGAGAAACAATCACTGATTAGAAGTCACGTAGCAGACAGAGGTCAGAAGTTATTAGTCAAAGGACTAATAAGAGTTCTTAGGCACTACACTATACACTACTTTTTTCCCTAATGTGGAGGATGATGGGGCGCTGGCTAGGTTGATATGGCATTTACGTTCATTTAAGGGGATGAAGTATTATAAGGGCCAAGAAGCACAGTTCTCAAATATGTTATTTCATTTATTCTTTCTACATACTAGGGACCAATTTCTATAGTAAGTACTTTTGTAAGGAATAAAGAATACAATAGAACTATTAAGAGTGGTTAACTCATATGTTTAACCCATAACTGTCTATATACCATCCATGCATTATTAACTTTGAAGCATTAATTTTTGAAAGAACAGTAAATGAGACTGAACATAAAAACTATAATTACATCCTGTTTAAACTAGAAGAGACTGTAGGGACCACGCAAGTTAATGTTTGACTAAAACCACACTGTCAGTTACAGGGGAGGTGAGACTAGAACCTGTGCTATTTGTACGAGTCCTTGGTCCTTTGAGGCCAAGCGCTCTTTGGCGCACCACACTAACTGAACAAAATCACAGCTCTTCGCTGAGCACCCAGGTGCCATGGGTTTCTGACATGCCTCAGTGTCATCACTGTGACCAGCACAGCACAGAGATACTCAGAAATAATGAAAGGTTATTTAAGAGTTATGGTTTTAAAATGCAAGAGATTTTTACTATTCATTGACCACAATTTAAAATGGAAAAATTCAAATCAAAATCCCCCTACTGGTATAATAATTTTCTAGTTTAGAAGCCAACGGCCCCTGTGGATTTCTGACTAACAGACATCTAATTTGTGGTCCTGGCTGTCACCACCAGTGTCCTTTGAAGATCATTCTGTGGAATGCAACAGTGTGAAAATACATGAAACATTTTAGATAATCTCTAGGCTCAGAAATGGAAGAATAAAAATAAAAATTAGGGACAACTGGATGAAATTGTCCCACAGAAAATACTTTCAATTTTTATACATTAGTATCAATTAACCCTCCCAGATATTTTGTTTTCCACTTAAAATTGGATTTTGCTGAAACAGGCCATTATGCCTATGGAATAATTTTGGGGCCCTGAATGGGGCCAGGTGTTAGGACTAGAGAACTTGATCGGGTTGCTTAGACAACATGAGGGCTTCAGGGACCGATGAAAGGACCCGGGAAGGAAAGCAAGGAACACCGCCAGTTTCATTTTACCTAGGGTCAGGTGAGGACCTGAAAATAATGAGTATGGTAAAAAGGAGTGTAAATGTTTCCAATGGTTCAAATTCCCCCGATTCACAACTATTAGCTCAACTACTTAGTTCACCTACTCATGGATCACATGAGCTTCTAGTGACTAGTGCATGAAACGACCACAGTGTGTATTGTTCCAGTGGGGAAACTGGCTGACAATTCCAATCAACCTATTTATGTACAAATTTAGGATTGTTCATGAGATAGGACATAATCCTTTCCAGCCATCAAATAGTGACAAAGTGCTACCAATTATTTATTTTATCTTTACAGGGAAACAAATTTGGATCTTTAAAGAACTACTTGTTAACTTCCAAGTAGTAAAAGGGAAATTAGGATTTGAATAGTTACACCAAAGGTTGTTTTACAAAACTCTGGTCATCTCTTGCTTTCTAATTATCAGTTATTCTGTTCCCACAAGTGAGGACATGAACTAAAAGCCCACAGTCATGCTCACTGTGCTCCATGGGAGAGGACGGAGCTGTAACAGTCTGTCAGAGTCCCCCTCTGAGGCTGCAGTCTGTGGCCAGAGGAAGCGTTGGAGTTCTATATGGTACACTTCCCAATTATATTAACAGAGAAAAAAACTTACAAAGTTAAAAAAAAAAGTGTATGTGGAGTTAATGTTCGGACATAAAGATTAAGCCACCTGGAGACTCCAATCTAAGGTAGACCGAAAAGCTCTTCAGTCCCCAAATCTGAGCCATGTGACGAAATTTTTACTGAAGTCCCCTCTGATGTAATACTCAGGGACTAAACAGAGCCTCCCCACAGGCTATTATTCCACATTGGGGGTTTCACAGGGCTCCTGGTAATCCCTGGATAAGGTGGTCACATAAGAGACCTGAGATGAACCCATCCTACATAAATACTTTCACCATTATGAATGGTATTAACGTTTAAACATGTTTTCTTCACATGGATTCGCTTACATGAAGCGATGCCTGCCAAGCCAGTACTTAAGCACAGCACGGCAGTACAAAAGCTAGTGGTAAGAAGGGAGGAAGACATGTCAACGAACAGGCTGAGTTCTGCTTCGTTTTAATCTGCTCACACTCCCTTTTCAATCGACTTTGAAGACTCACCTTCCTCCTCACCCAAAGGCCAGAATGAAGTCGAAGAAACCTATAGACGACAGCTTTCACAGTCTTTCTCTTGCCTTTTCGTGAGCTGAAGTATGTCACAGTTCTGACTGGCGGCCTCAGGACATTTGGAAGCAAGGAAGCCACTCTAAAATACATTTTAAAAATTTAATTCAGCAAGAAGAGTGATTAAAGTATAAAACCCATTTGTATCCTTAGAAATGAGTAAAGCTCCAGTGGAACACGGCTGACTTACTGTCCTTCGTTACTTCAAATGATGATGCTGTGCATAAGTAAGAATACCAACTATCGACGATTTGCAGGCTACCTGTAATCTACCCCAGCCCAATCCCTATGACAGAACTGATTCTATTATACTTCAGTCATCTGATTTTTAATCCACCTGCTCACTTGATTACACCTTGTAAGGACTTCAACTTGTCTATCTTTGTATCCTTTCTGCCACATACAGTGCTCAGCACCCAAATGTGCTTATCTAAGTATCTGCTGACTGAATGAACACCACATGCAGCCCAGCCTTGTAAACCAAGCATCTTGTTCACCCTCCACATTGGCTGACAGTTCCACCCAGGAAACCACATCTGGAACATAAGAAGCATGCTGTTTGGTAGTCCCTGCCGCTGCCGCCACACAGGCATGTGGACGTCAATCGTATCTCCCACTCCATCAGGCAGTGGCTACATAATAAACCACAGGGACAGAAAGATTTATCTATTTCTAAGAAGTCGTTGCAGGCATGAACATTTTAGGATTTCCATCCAAGCATCATGTTTACTCAAAAGATACAATACCTATTGAGGACTGTCGCTGTACGCCCACATGTCAGGCTTCTGACAGCAGTAACGAGCCCGGGAGCAGAGGAAACAACTGAAGTCCGAATATGACAAAACCGTCGGGCAGACAGTGCCGAGTGAAGACAGGCATTCTTGGAACAGTTCCAATAGGCTGAGGACGCCAGAGTATTCAGGGGCCGTAAGATTCCTGTGAAGATAGAGATGCACAAATGCTAAATGACATACTCCAAAATATGCATCTAGATTTTTAAATTAATTTAAAAAATTTTGAAATCAACTAAGTGTTATAACGTTATTAACGTGCCCCGAAGCTCAGACTTGTACCTGTGGAGCTTTTACCAATTTTATTGAGGTATAACTTACATGCCCCAATATAACCCATTTGTGTGCAATTCAATGTATTTTAGTAAATTCAGAGTTGTGCAACGGTCACCACGATCCAGTCGATGTGTCCTAGTTCTTCTATGTTCAACAGTACAAGGAAAATGTATGTAACATTCATCCCCACCCGCCGGACCTTATGCCCCGATCAGACAGAACTGCTGTGCGTTGTGCGGCGGCAGGGCGGAGACAGGCAGGCCTGACAACTCCCTGGAGAGATGAGAGTGGCCGGAGAAGGGCACATAAGGAAAACAGAAGAAGTACATTAACCCTCTTCGAGAAAATGAACAGGCCATGAGGAGGAGGTATACAGTCCAGCAGGATGAACACCACAAGTGAAAACAAGACTGAAACAAATACCGATCTGGAGTGGGCACTGGACCTGCCACAGGAGCTGAGCACTGCTTGTCTGCCTGGGCAGAAATAGTGGGAAATAAGACGGCAGTTCATGAAGGGCCTAGATGTGTGGACTGAGCAGTCTTCATCCTTCACATGACAGCCAGATGGAGGCCACGTCCGCAAGGTAGAATCGCTCACAGAGCGGACTCCGTTGTCGATACTGAGTCTAGCGTGGGGCTCGAGAAGTGTGGGTGTGAAAGGCCTCCACAAGATGAAACACTCCTAAACCTGGGTGGTGGTGATGGTTGCACAACTCACTAAATCTACTAAGTCATCAAACTCTACATACAAAATGAGTCATTTTTAAAAAACACACCATCAATGTTTGCTGTTCAGCTCTCCCCAACAGGCCAGTGCTAGGGCTGAGGGACTGGGCCTCCACGAGTGGGTCTAGGGGCCTGATATGACCATCTTACTGTGCCCTCAGGCCTGTCAGTCTTCCCCCTAGGCTTTCCGGAAGTCCTGTGGAGTCCTAGGCTATGTCAGACCTGGGAAAGCTGCCTCTGTCGAGGAAAAGGACATGTGGGGAGAGACCACGTGATGTCTCAGAACCTGGTAATTCCAGTATCAGCATGTGACAGGAGGGAAACTGAGGCAAGATGGTAAAACCCAGAGAAAAAAATGATGGGGTTTGAAGGTGAGGTATGGAGGACCAGCATCTTTCAGACCCTGAACCAGAAAGAGAAGAGACTTCCAGGTACTTCCTCCTGGCTCTAGGGTGAGTCCTGCACAGCTCTATCCCCCAGGGGTGTCTGCAAGGTGGCCATGCTTGAGGGAGCTGCAGGTCCCATGGGTCTCCATCCTTGCTGTGCCCTGGAGGGGAGGCAGAGAAGGGGTTGGCAGCCTCCTGGGCCCTCATGAGCCTTTTTGGTCACGTTCTGCTTCTTCAGCATCACCTAGGTGATGAACACTCCCACAAACAGTAGTGGCAGGAGGCCTGCGACTTCTGGGATGGCAACAGCATAGGCTCGGGGCAGGAAATGCTTGGGGAAAACCTGCCAGCTGTCAATGAAGGGCAAGAGAGCCATCCAGGCAGTGTGGTAGGTGAGGATGATGAGGCTGAGTCCCACCACCTGCTCTGTCCCTGTAACCATTCCCCCTGCCTAAAACAGGTAATTTTATGGTAATTTATGGTAATTTTATGTAAATCATACCTCAACACTTTTTAAACAGCTCCATAGGAAAGTCATCCGCTTACCACTGCCTTACTGTCCACTGCACTGATGTTACATAACAAATGAAGAGCTGTGATATGGAAGTGAAGAGTTTGAGCCAGACTGGCTGTACTACCAGCTCTACCAGCTGCTAGCTGTGTGACCATAGGCCAGTTACTTAAGCTCTCTGCGTTCCAGTTTCCTCAAATTTAAGTGAAATTTACCATGGGCAGGTAATGGGAATGAAATGAGATATACCATGTAAAGCAAGGTTGTCAAACTCATTTTTACCCAGGGCCATATCAGCCTTGTGGTTGCCTTCAAAGGGCTGAAATAATTTTAGGACTGTATAAATGTAACTACTTCTTAACTGTTAAGGAGCTGAAATTACATCCGGCCCTTTAAAGGCAACTGTGACACTGATGTGGCCCTCAGTGAAAATGAGTTTTTATGACCGTGATGTGTTAACGTGTTACAAAGAGTGCCTAGCACACGGAAATCGTCTAATGAAGGAACACTGAGCAAAGACAGCACAAGGTTAACGTGGCAAAAGGGAAACGGAACACTTAAAACCCTTATTTTGCTTTTGTGTTCTTTGTCAAAGATAACAGTTTTCAAACTAAAACGTAGCATAAATCGATTCCCAGTCAGGGCACATGCCTGGGTTGCAGACCAGTTCCCTGCAGACTAGTTCCCAGCAGGGGACCCACGAAAGACAACCATACATTGATGTTTCTCTCCCTCTCTCCTTCCCTTCCCCCTTAAAGATAAATAAATAAAATATTTTTAAAAAAAGTAGCATAAACACTGAGTTAGCTGAAATCAAGATTCAGGAAATGGGCCAGAGAGCCCTTATACCAGGCACTTGTCAGGCAAATTCTCTCCTCAGTGCAGGCATTCAAGCTCCAGGTCCAAATAAATTATATCTCAAAGAACTGAAAATATTTGTAGATGTGAGTACAAGGCGGGAGGTAATCTTTTTCATAGGTCACCAGAGCTTGATGTCTCAGTTAAAAAAAAAACAAAAAAAAACCCTCAGAAATTTCTGGAAACCAAGCCTAAAGGCAGATGAGAATCCAGAACATATAATGGGTAAACTACAGGCTCATCTGTAGAAAAAAAATGTCAGATGACTAAACAGGAAGTAGAGAGAACAAAATAGATTGTCAACTGGGAATGAACTGTTTCTTAAAAACAACTTAATTTCATTTTTTGATACAATCACTAGCCTGGGAAATCACAGACACTGTATTCTGACTTTAGGAAGGCATGTGAAAAGGCTTCTTTATATTCTAAAGAAATTCAGAAATGTGGGATAATAGAAGAGTTTGATAAATTCCAAGCTGACTGGAAGCTATCCCCAAATTAGTTGACTGCTGTTCTCCTGGTGAAAGTGTCTTCCTGGCTCCCTAACTGACTACCTTTCTCCTCGATTTTCATTAAAGTCCTGAAACTGCGTAAGGCATGTTTACTAAATCTGCATAAAAAACAAGTTGGGAACCATGGCTTACAAACATATTTCTAAAAAAAATAGCCTGTATGGACTCAAAGTGATCCAGGAAAAAGAAAAAAAAAATCAAAATTAACAAGATGAAATGGGGGAGAAACACATTGAGGTTAGAAAAATTGGTAACAGGAAGAATGAAAACCTGGCTTGAGAGCAGATCCTGGGAAAATTATTGGGGGGCTTTATACCCTCTTCACAGACCAACCAGAGGGGATTTAACTTGTAAAAACCAGAGAGTCAAACTCAGATTGTGTTTAAATGAAAAAGGGTAGCACACAGCCCTGGCTGGGTGGCTTAGTTGGTTGGAACATTGTCCCGTACACCAAAAGGTTGCTGGTTTGATTCCTGATCAAGGTACGTGCCATAGGATGTGGGTTCGACCCCCCAGTCAGGGCATGTATGTGAGGCAGCCAATCGATGTCTCTTTCTAAAGATCTGTAAACATAATTCTCCAGTAAGGATTTCTACAAAAAGGGCAGCACACTAATCAAGAATAGTAATTGACAGCTCCTTCAGTCTTCCGCCCATTTGGGCATTTTAACACAGAGCAGCTTTCTCTAGAAACTCTTCCATGGAGAACACAGACCTTTTTACGAAGGAATGACAGAAAACCAGAGTTGTAAAGAAATGAAAGGAAGTAGATGGAACAGGAGAAGCACAGGTGAAGAGGCAAAACTGGTGTAGTATGTTTGGGGAATCCTAAATAGCCTTGTGTGGGGCAGGAATCAAAGAATGGGGAGGGGCCGGGAGGTGAGCGTGGCAGTGTCTAAAGCAGTGGCCTGCAAGCCTTTTTGATCCCATATCCTCTAGAAGAATTCTGAAAAATTACATACTTCCACAAAATTTTACATAATACCTAAAATTTTAAATAAATTGTTAAAAAGAATATAATTTATGGTATATTTACAATACACTTCAAAATAAGATGTCACATCATTTTTAAATGTTTCCAAAGGAATCTACATATCATAGCGAGTTGATACCAACCTACATCACCTACATAAAAAACCCAAGGGCAATAAATTCAAATTGACAACTAAAACTTCTTTTCATCAAAAGATACTTTAAAGAAATTAAAAAGGCAAGCCAAAGTGGGAGAAGATATTAGAAAACACATTTAAATGAAAAAGTTTGCATATCCAGGATATATAAAGAACCATAAATCAGTAAGAAAACTCAATAGGAAAATGGGCAACATCTTTAAGTAGGTATTTCATAAAAGAAACTTAAATGGCCAACACATGTGTAAAGGTATTCAAGGAGATTACTAGGAATCAAGTAAATGCCATTAATACAACAAAGAGACATCACTAAATACATACCAAACAGACAAAAATTTCTAGGTCTAACAATACCAACTACTGATGAGGACATGAAGAATACATGAGAAAATGCAGTGCTGTGGTGACTTTAAATAAGCCTATCACTTTGGCAGTATCAGGTGGTGCTGAATATACACATACCAAATCTGCAATTCCACAGCTAGTTTTAAATGCACACGTGCGTGTGCACACACACACGCACAGCTCTTACAGAAACTCTAGCGCTCATGTACCAAGACCACAAGGTCAAACAGCACTGCACGTAAAACTGGATTTTCCTTAAACTGGAAAACACTCAAATGTCAATCATCGGTAAAAGGGAGAATTGTAGGATAGTCACTAAGAGACTATTTTATAGCAGCGTTGAGAAAGCACTACAGCTACACGCAAAATGAGCTTCACAAAGTAAAAGATACAAGAGTACATACTGTATGATTCCATTCATGTAAAGTACAAAAAAAGGCAATACTTAAACATGAGGATAGTATTCATATTTGGCCAAAATAAAAGGGACTTTTGATTGGGGAAACCCACGGGGGTGGAAAAGAGGCTCTTGGTAGTGTTCTATGTCCCGATACGGTGTTAGTTTATGGAGCTTTGCTTCAAAGTTAAACACATTCCTTGGAACGTGTGGGCTGTTACAGACCACTGCACTAAAGCAAATATTGCAACAAAGCAAGTATCACGATTTTTTTGGTTTCTCAGTGCATATAAAGGTTTAGATTATACTGTAGTCTAATAAGCATTCAATACCATTGTGTCTAAAAACCAATATACATACCTTAATTAAAAATACTTTATTGTCAAAAAACACTATCCATCATCTGCGCCTGTTAGGAAAATGGTGCCAATAGACTTGGCTCCACATAAAATTACCACAAACCTTCAATTTGTAAAAACAAAAACTGCAATATCTACTAAGTGCAATAAAATTGGGTAAGCCGGTATTTAAACTATTCATGTATATTATATAAATTTTTCTTTATTGTGTTTTACAAATTAAAATTACCCCATGTAAACAAGCTCTTCTGTAAGTTGAAAATTTTACATCTTTTTTAAATTTCTTTTCTTCCACAGAATTTTATTCTACTTGTGTGTGTGTGTGTGTGAAAGTAACTTACTGTAATGTTGTATTTCTCGCCCAAGACATCCTTATAAGTGACCTTGTGCTGGAGAGTGAGTGAACATAACGGCCACATTCCCTGCATGTTGTGTGAATCTCATACTCACAAATTACTATGTGCCGGGCACCAAGCAGGGCGCTTTTCGGGCTGGAGCTCATTTAGTCCTCGGTTAGAAGGTATTATCTCCAAGTTACAGACGTGGAATCTCAAGTTCCGAGAAATTAATTAACATTTCAAGGTCAAAGGTCGTGAGTGGTGGTTCTAGCCCTTCATCCCCCTCCGCCCCATCTTGCTTTGTTTTCTAAGGAAGGTGAACTGCTAAGAGCCGATAAAGCGAAAACCTCCAGACACCAAGGTACGGGAGAGTCAGAGAGCTTCAGAACCCCTTGGCCTCAAATAACGACCCACGCCCCGGGCTTTTTCCTATTAACCTACACGCTAAACACCCACTATATCCTGCGTCAGTAGTCTCTTCTGAGAAGGCAAATACAGAACGCGTTGCTTTCCCACTGACCTGAGGCCACTCTCAGCGCACCAGCAAAAGCAGAGACCGCCATCTCTTTAACTCCGCCCTACGGCGGCCGCACTGGGCCTAAAATGTTCAGGGCAAACTAATCTGAGTGGAGTCAAGGCAAGAAAAACCAATTAAAGGAACAGTCAAATCAAATTTTATCGAATGTCCTGTATATGCCAGGTTGTCCTTCACCTCTGTAAAACAAATGCCTGGCATTTAGTAGGCTCTTAATAAATTTTTATTGACCATTTGATTGAAAGATCTATATAAAGTACAGGACATTTGAAACAAAATTTCTTTTTTCATTTCATTAAATTTGAGGGAATGAAATGTGTTATCCTTCCAAAACTGATAGATGATGGGAAACAGTAATATTATTAAAAATTATTAAGAAAGAATCCCTGTTGCCTTTGAATATATTCTTCTCACCCTTCCCCCCAGATTATTTTTAAGAAATTGAATACCAACTATAA